TTTCTTAATGCCTTTCAAATTTTTTATTAACTTCAAAAGTGTGAACATTTCCTTTTACACAGAATAGAAAAATAGAATGTGGAATTATGCTCCTTCTGAAACAAATTTCAATTCCAACACTGCCCTGCTTGTCTATACCCCCTTCTAAGCTTCCTTCTGTTCTGTGTTTCTTCAAATGTTTCATTGGTGCTTTTTTTTTAATCCTTTTGCTTTTGTATTTCAGTGACTATTATCCTCACTCCCTCTCCACCTCTTCCTTATTAAGTAAAATATAATTCCTCCATTGTTACAAATAATTATACTTAATCAGAACAAATAGCCAACTATAACCTGACTAAAAATGTAGTCCTCCTTTTGTCCCTCTGGTCATTAACCTGTTCCAAGAGGTGGGAAGCATGCTTCAGATCTGTCTGTGGGGTCATAATTGACATAATCCTTTCACAATTGCTTTCTTTATGACATTGAATTATTGTGTCAGTTATTGTCAGGTTTCAGCTTTATTCAATCAGTAGCTGTTTAAACAACTGCTTTGAGGTTTTCTGAAGCCTTTATGCTAGTGTTGACCAAGCAATTCAGAAAAACTAAGCAACTTACCAATCTTATCCGAAACTATATGTGTAATTCCACAATCCTAGATCCCCATTGTTATTGTTGTTGTTCAGTCATGTCTGACTTTCTGTGACCTCGTTTGGGGTTTTCTTGGCCAAGATACCAGAGTGGTTTCCCATTTCCTTCTCCAGCTTATTTGGCAGATGAAAAAACTGAGGCAAATACAGTTGCTGAAGGTCACACAATTTTGAACTCAAGAAGATGAGTCTTCCTGACTCCAGGCCCAGCCCTCTATCCACTGTACCACCTAGCCACCCCCTAGTTCCCCACCCATGCGGTGAGTGGAGGGAGTTATATTAACCCAAAGTACTTTTTTTTGCCCTTTCTAAATATTTTTATTGATGTCTTCTGTGTTTTCATAAAATTCTCAACACAGCTCCTGTTCCCAGAGCCCTCTTTTACAGCAAAGAAAGGAAGATTAAAAAAAGAGGAAAAATAAACAGTTTTGCAAAACTAACCCAGTATACATAGTGTCCCACACTCATAGTCTCCCAGCTCTTCAAAAAAAAAAGGGAGAGGTGTTCTTCTTGGGAGCAAATTTATTCATTATGATTTTAGTCTTGTTCGGTTTCAATTTATTTTTGCTTTTCTTTCCATTTATATTGTTAGTCATTGCCAGTATGTACTGTTTTCCTGGTTGTGCTTGCCTCACTTTGTGTCAGTTTGCACAATAGCTTGAAATATTTCAGAGAAAGCTGTCTCATCATATTGACCATATGGGAGTTTGACTAATGGAGGCAGCATGGTATTTGAAGGCTAGTCATGTGGTGTGGTAGAAAGAGCATAGAGAAGGCTTCCTGGAACAGGTGCAATTTGAGTTGGGTTTTACATACTGTGTCAGAGGGCAGCAGTCAATGAAGGAATGGATCACAAATATGAACCTTTCCTTCTCCTGTTTTGAAAGTTATTCCTCATAAGAAGATGGAAAAAAGGGGAAAAGGTTCAGCAAAACCAACCAATCCGACAGTCTCTTCTGACAGTATATGCAACGTTTTTAACCGATAATCCCCCAACTCTACAAATGAAGGGAGGTATACTTTCTCAGTTCTTTTCTAGGTCTAAGCTTGGTCATTGTAGTTACACAGGAATAGGGCCTAGGCGATGCCTAGATAGCTATGTTCCTGTTGCAGTCACATTCATAAGAGGAACTTGGAGGAGTTGAAATAGGGAAGAACCAAATACACTCTGCTGGCATGCTTGGCACATCTTTCTAAGAATAACTGAATACAGCATTGTGTTTTGGTTTTGTGTTTTTTATGTTTATGTTATAGTTGCTACAAATGTTGTTTCCCTCCTTTTGCTTCCTCCATTCCACATTAGTTCATATAAGTCTTCCCATGTTCTACATTCATGGAGGACAGTTTTAAGGGAAAAGAGAGCAAGCTCAGTTTTGGATGTCTTGAGTTTCAGGTACTGGTGGGATATCCTTGTGGATATATCTATGTGGTGGTCAGAACTGTAGCCATAGATTACAGAAGCACACAGCGGTGGTAATAACTCCTTGGGATGAGGGCAAGGGATTGGTTGTTTTTTTATGGCATCCCCAAGCACCTACTAAACTGCCTGGCAAATAATAGGTGATTAATAGGTATTTTCTTTGAATTGAGTTGAATAGAGATGAGAGCCAAGATGAGACTCTTGGGAAGGATGCACCAGACCAGTTAGAGATGTGTAGAATTAGAGCAGGACCAGTGAGAGAGATAGGAGGAGAACCAGGAGGTGGTGATGCCTAAGGCAGAGGGTGGAGAGAAGGAAGAAGGAAAAGGGGGTCAGTGGTGACAGAAGCTGCCGTCAAAAGTTTTCTAATTTGGGAGAAAGGGATGGAGAATCATTGGATGTGTTGTTTGGTCATTTGAAAAGGCAGTTTCAGTAGAGTGGTAGAAGCAGAAACCAGGAGGATGATCAGGGGAGAACATGAAGTGAAGCAGAAGCATCAAGAGGACTGTTGACATGTTTTTCTCAAAGTTTGGAGTGGAAGGGAAATGGACTGGATAGAGGGATCATAATTACCAGAGAGAAGGGAAGGGGGTGGAATGACATGATAGCTGTCTTCCAGTGAGGCAGCTGGTGGTTTAGTGGATAAAGCACTTGGCCTGGAGGCAGGAAAACCTGGATTCAAATCCAACCTCAGGCATTTACTAGGTGTGTGACCCCAGGCAACCTCTGTTAACCTTAGCATCTTAACCATAACCTTTTCTTGCCTCTGTTTTCCCAACTATAAAATGGGCAAATTAATAACAGTTACATCTTAGGGTTGTTGTGAAGACTAAATGAGATCTTTGTTTAAATAAAAACAAGTAATTCACAGAGTGCTTGGCACATAGTAGGCACTATATATACATGCTTATTTCCTTCCCTTTCCCTGTCAAGTATCTGGCAGGATTAGACTTATTCTGTTTCACCCTCAGAGGGTAGAACTAGGAGCATTAGGGAGAAAAGGCAAAGAGGTCAGTTTAGGTTTGAGGTCAGAAAATAATCCTTCCTAACAAGTGGAGCTGTCCGAGGTAGAAGTTCTCCTGTGTAGGAGCCAGAGGATTTCCATTCCCTAGGGTTCTTCAAGCTGAAGCTAGGTGGCCTTTTGCTGGGTATATTATAATGGGAATTCCCCTTCCTGCGTGAGTTGGACTAAAAGGACCACAAAGTCACTTCCCAATCCTCAGATGTCCATGATTGTTTAGATAAGTTGCTAAGGATAAAGAGGGATGTTTGAAGGTTCCAACTAGAGTTATATCATATGAGTTTGTATTAGATGAAATTAGCTTAATTTTTGTGAATTTCTACTGTGACACTGGGCAGTTCTGGAGTGGGAGCAGGGAAAACTCATTGTGATCCAATCAGGCTATCCAGGCGTGACTATTTACTAGTTGGGGACAAAAGAAGGCCATGGCAACAAGTGGTATGAGGGGAATGGTGAGTAAAACAAGAAAGTGGCAAAGCACAAAGACAGACCTTGGTGTGGAAGCAGGTGAAGCCTAGGAGGGATGGACTAGGAGATCAGGAATGGGTCAAAGAGTAGATCTGATGTGAGAGAGAAGAGAGAAGGTAGAATACAATATCTGGTGAAGGAGTGACATTTCACAGTTTTGCACTTTAGACGTGATTGAGATTGAGAGCTGGTGAAATTTAGGATGTGGCAGTGTGGGTGTGTGGCCATCCTGGCTTGGAAAAGGAAGTCATCAGAGTTGAGGATGTTAAAGAATTGTACGATAAAATTATTAAAGGGGCTAACACCATAAATGTTTAATTCCCCAGTGATGATAAGATAGGGATAATGTTGACAGGAAGAACTTGAGCCAGGTAATAGAGTCACAAAATAAGTTAAAAGAATTTCCTATAAGTTGATAGATAATGGAAACAAGGATAGAGAGGACTGCATAGACCTGGAAAAAAGGAAAGGGCGTTGAGGGATGGTGGGACAGTGATGTGCTGAAAGTGTCCATGTCCTGGAAACGTTTCATACTTCCAAATTCAGGTCCCTCTTTTCCCTGTCCTTTGTGTAATTCCTTGTTCTCAGTTAGCAATGACATCATCCTAGAAAAGCTAATGCTTGATTAGAAAAATTATTACATCTCAGGTATCTTAATAAGTCTCTTCAAAGCAGAAAAGCCTTTAAGATGTCACAGAATGTCAATGATCATGGAATCTGCAATACCAGAGGAGTCAGTAAGGGATAGGGCAGGTTGTTTGCGAGGATTACCCTGCCACCTAACACATCACATAGGCAGCTCTGTCTACTCTTTGTGGTCATGGAACCTCACAGGGATTCAGAATGAGACCTAGTAAAGAAATTAGTTAGATTTTATTTTGATGTGTGAGCTTAGACAAAGCACTTTTTGCTGCTTTGAGCCTTAGTTTCCCCCTCTGAAAAAAGGGGAGAGGGGGCAGCCAGGTGGCACAGTGGATAGAGCCCCAGCCCTGGATTCAGGAGGACCTGAGTTCAAATTTGGCTTCTGACACATAACACTTACTAACTGTGACCCTGGGCAAATCACTTAACCCCATTGCCTAACCAAATAAAAAAGAACAACAAAAACAGAAAAAAGGGGAGAACAGTATTCATGTTCTTTCCTCACAGAATTGTGTGAGCTTCTATATGTGCATTCCATTGTAAATGGTTCTTAATGTTAGTCAGTATGAGCAATGAATATTAATTTTAGTCTCCTGGTTTTGTGAAATTCTCGCTATCAGCTTAAGATAATAAATAGTTCAAAATATTCATACTTGGGATTTCAGTTGCAAATTGGCTCCAACTTTGTCTTGATTGTTGATCCATTAGTGTTTATTATATATGATGTATTAATGTTAGTAATAAGTTTTGCAAGGTGTTTGTGACTGATCAATACGTGTTGACTTTTCTAGAAAGAAGTTGCTTCCATTTGACACAGAAACTGTTAAATGAAACAAGTCTAAGTAGAGTCTTTATTTTTTGAAAATTACTTTAAAGACCTATGTTTACAGAGATGCAGATTTACATAACCTAGAGAAAAAGCAAGTCTTTAAAAAAATGTACAATCTATTTACTATCATTGCAGTCACATTTTAATAATATACAAGGCATTTTATTTTATATAAATAAAGTATAAATGTACAACATCATACAACAAGTATGGTAAAAATTTAGCTAAACACATAAAATTGAAATAGATTGGGTTCCATTTGCACCTACCCATCCACTTCTGCTTCAACACTTGGCAAAATATTTTCACCATTGCATTTTACATGCCCTAACACATATTATCTGCTATAGGCTCTCTGTGAATGACCAACTTGTGGAAAAACACAAATAAAAACTAACAGTTTTAGTGGGACAAAATCATTAGTGTTCATTTAATGAAGGGTGGGACCTAGAGGGTGTGTCTGAAATACAAGTCATGCAAGAGCCTTGAATACAGAAGACAAAGAGTTTTTTATTTCCTACTCTAGAACAGTCATACCTTTTGCATCATCCCTCCCTCAGAGCCCAAAAGAGAGCTGCGCCAGGGGCTCTTTCCAGTGCCGTGTTAATGTCAATCCCTGGGCTTACAAAGGACAGAAATCTACCTAATAAACAAGCTTTTTCCTTCTAGCTCCCAAGTGTAGGGAGTTGGGGATCTCGGAAAAGACCACGTGCCCATTCTGTCATTCCAAGCAGTTGTGTAAGCCCAAATCTCTTCATTCATCACTGCATGACTGCATCACCATCTCTTCCAAAAAAAGTTTTTTTTAATAGCTTACACTTCAAGTTTTCAAAACCCTCTCTATCTCATTCAACAAATGAGCATAAGAGAAAGCAAGGAGTTGTCTCTACTTCTTTCAGTGGTCACTTGAAGGGTACTGATACCCATCAACTCCAGTGAGTATAAGGGGAAATCTGGGTTCACACTGATTCTTTGCATGCTCTGTGGTAATGAAATAATCACTTGCTTTTTTTATTGAACATTTAATCACACCACCACTCCAGCAGCCATCTTCTCTTCCTGGATGAGAAGTTAGAGCTTGGGAAGATACCAAAATTTCTCTCAAACTTGAACACAAATGTTCAGAAATGCCTGGAAAGTTAGTATGCCAGCCTTGTAGGCTGGACACTCAACATGGTTCTTTGGAATATAAGGGTTTCTAAATTCCTTTCTCTTAAGTCCACAGACAAACTTTCACATTAATCAGTAAGCAGTGCGATTTATTAGATTCAATCATCAACCCTATTTTATCTGAGAATGTCAGCTTCCCAAATATGCATCCACCACATTAATTTCTAGTTTAACCACATGGTGGTTACTCCTTTATCTGAAAAGAATGATTGGCACTGTCTGTATATTTTATTATCTTTGTTTTCATTATCCCCTTTTCTCCTGTTCTGCTCATTGGCAGAATGAGATGGGGAGAGGGGTTTTGAAAACTTCAAATGAGAGCTATTTTTTTTTGATAGTGGTGGTGGTGGCCAAATTTTGCTCAATGGTGGATGAAGAGATTTGGTCTCACAGAGCAGCTTGGAATGATAGAAGGGGAAGGGATCTTTTCTGAGACTCATAACTCCCACTTGGGAGCTGAAAGCACATAAACATTTCAAAGATAAAGAAGCAGATAAGGATTTCAGAGTTATCAAGAAAGGTTCTTGTACAAATAAGATAAATACTTTCCCCAACTAATTTTGATAGAAGAAATGGGCACACAAAATGGGCAGGGAATTCCTTTTGACTGTCATATGTTTAAGAGGATGGGCTACAAGGAGGGGACTTCCAAAGCACCAGTAAGGTCACAACAGTGTTCAGCAGGATAATACCTTTGGCAAAAACGATAGATATTTGAAAAAGTACTATGAGGGCAACAAGAACATTAATTACCCACAGCATAAGAAGGGATCTGGTAGTTTGAAATATTAATTTCCTACAACACTAAAAAAAAATTCCTTAAAATAATTTAGAGTGCTTAGATGGACTCCAATTACAATACATATGGATAAATCTGTGAATAAGATATAGTTGATTATTAAAAATTAAAACCAATTGAAAGAGACCTAAAAGTGACTAACATTTTTCTGCTAGTTATTTTAATGACGAAACAATTCATTAAACAGAACGCAACCCCATATTGTGATTTTTGAGCTCATATTCATTTGTAAGAGTGAGATTGATAAAATGTATATTTTACAAAGTTTATGAAGGCTTAACAGGTAGTCTGGGAAATACCATTTCTTCAGAAAGGACTATTATTTCACTGCCCTCAGCCCTCTAGGGAGGACACATCTACTAACATAACTTCCCTGTTGAGCAATTTCCTCATTTTTGCTTTTTTCAGTTTTAGACAATTCCTGAGCTCAGCCACATGGTTAGGTCACTATTTTAATTCTTTCTTAAACCAGAAAATATTTATAAATATGGCAGCTTTCCATGCACCCATAGCATCCTGTTAATTTATCCACAAAATGATACGTCATAGTTCTTTTCATTCTGAGTCAAAAAATTTGTGTTTGAGTTCCTCCTATTGTTCCGTCAGAATTCGAGACTAGTGTATTTTATTCAAGGTGACAGAAAATGACTAAATAATATGGACACAATCTAAAATCTTATCTTGTCAGGATAGCAAGCGAGATTTACTATCCCTCACCTGAAAATTCTTGTTTCCAGTCCAAGGATAGCCACACAACTGAAAGTGATTTTCCCAGCCAAGAATGCTTCATGTGATAGGGTACCAAAGTTCAATTTCATTGACTCTCAATATCCCAAATCATTAGGGTTTTTATACCCTTCCGTATTCTAGCAAGGTCCTAGGATTCTTCTCAATGGACCATCTGTGCAAGCTTCACCAACGTTGCTCTTGGCTGTTTAAGGATTCCATTCTATGGCCACGTCAGTTTGATGCAAAATAGAAGGAGAAAGGGGAATTGGAGAGTCCTTTGTGGTTAAAGCAACAAGCCATAGTGTGCTTCATACTGCTGTTCTGTGCTTCCTAATTAGTAATTGCACAGGCCCTTCTGGGACAGACTTAATAATGTTCCAGGCATCATAGTGCATGAGCCCTGTCAATGACTTTCCACTAATGGCAAGAATTTCATCTCCAGCTTCAATTGTCCCAGCTTGTTCTGCAGCACCACCTGTGAGTAGGAACAAACAGTGCTGAGTAAGCAGACTAAAGATTTAAAAAGCAGATGTCTCTCAATGACTTTGGAAGCTGTGTAACTAATTTCTCACCCTGGGAGTGGAATATATTTCTGCCTTCCTCCTGAGTGCCCCAATATTATGCCCCAAATTTATGAACGAAAATGAGTTCAAGCTTCACCTGAATAAGAGATGATCTGCTTTTATTCAGTGTTCATTAAGAAAACAAAACAAGCAAAGAGACCAGAAAATGTCTTTTCTTAAAGCAGTTACTTGCTGTGAAGCACAAAGAAATACATTCTAGATGTACACGCTCCTATTCATAGGAAAATGAGGTTGGACAGGAATAGGAAATCTAGAAGGCTTCAAAGTTTTCTCCAGAAACCATGATGGTCAACAGAAAACAATTGGAAGGATTGCATACTAAATGTCTGAAATCTGACCACACACTGGAATTGTAGCTGACATTTGAGCATCTAAAAATATGGGTGAAATGATAAGAAACATATCCTGACCTGATGAAAAAAGGAAACTATTCAAAGTCAACATCTAGGATTGAAAATCTGTATCTGTGACAAAAGTAGACCTTTTTATTAAGGACATCCAACTCTGTTAAGTGGTCAGTGAGGTGCCAAAAGCAGTATTAAATTCTCAAGGCCCAAAACTGTTTTCTCAAACACAAAAACTAAAAAGTATGCAATCTAAGGGAGCTGCTTTTTGTGATCAGTTGGACCAATATTTCACGGGGGGATCCTATGTACCAGTGCACTGACTGCACTCTTTTGGTGTTCTTCTAAGGAATGCAGACCCAAAGACCCAAGCCAGACTACCTGTAGCTAAAAGATACAAGAGGCATCTAAGTGACTTAGTGGTTGCAGCACTGGACCTAGAGTCAGGAAGGCCTGAGTTCAAATCCAGCCTCAGACACTTACAAGTTGTGCAACCCAGGGCAAGTCATCAAACCTCTGCCTGCCTCAGGTTCCTCATTTTTAAAATAGGGACAATAATACCCCTACCTTCCAGGGTTGTTGCAAGGATCAGAAGAGTTAGTTATAAAGTGATTTGCAAATCTTAAAGCACTATATAAATGCTTGCTATTATTAGTGAATTTCATTCAGTACTAAGCATGATAGTTAATCTACTTTTCAGGAGGCATAGGAGAAAACAACTTTTAGATTACTTTCCTCTCTCCTCTATTAATAGAGGTGGACTATGAGTATGGAATATTGCACATATCATCACACTGGGCTGAAGTATTAATTGGTTTTGGTGAACTGCAATTTCTTTTCCTTTTTCTTTTAAATTGTTCTTACAAAAGAAGGCTCACTTACATAGGGGAAAGAGAATATATATGGAAATAAAGTTGATACAAGCAAAATATATCAATAATTTTTTAAAAATTGTACCTATTTTGTAAAAACAAATTTAAATTTATTTTTTAATAATTTTTGTATTATGCAGAGCATAATATATTAGTACAAAAATTATTTATACTGGTTATATATTATTCGTATTTCATCATAAAATAAATCTCATTTAATAAATTTTGTTTAAATTTAAAATAAACTTTATTGATATCTTTTGTTCCTATATTGCCTAAATTTCCCTCCTCTATTCTTCTCCTACCTACTCCCAGAGAGTTACCTCTTTTATCAAATAATTTTCAAAACAATAAAAAAAGACAAAAGGAAAGATCAGGAAAATTGATCAATAAATTGGATAATCTAACAATATATGCAATGTACTACACCTCTGGAATCATCATCTCTGTAAAGGAGTAAGGGCAGATATTGTCTCTTTGGAACTCAGCTTGTTCTGTGTAATTTTGTAACATTATTTGATGATTCTTTTTTTAAATTTATATTGTTGTAGTCATTGTGTATACTGTTTTCCTGGTCCTGCTTACTTCACATTGTATCAGTTCATGCATGTCTTTCCAAGCTTCTCAGTATTTGATGTGTTCATCATTTCTTACAAGACAGTAATATTCTACTATATCTGCAGTACCACATTTTGTTTAGCTATTCCTCAATCAGTAGGTTTTTACTTTGCTTCCAGTTTTCTGCTACCAGAAAAAGTGCTGAGGTGTGTGTGTATGTGTGTGTGTGTGTGTGTGTGTGTGTGTGTGTGTGTATCACTTATATTCAAAGAACACTTGAACAAGGAGTTAGAAGATCTGTAGTTTAGTCCAAGATCTTCCATTTACTAGCTGTGTCATCTTGGGCTAGTCATTTCACTGCTTTGCACCTCAGTTTTGCCATCTGCTAAAAGGGAATAATACTACTTGTCCTCTACTCATAGAGTTGTGTAAGATTATATGTGTAAAAGTACTTTGTAAATAACATTAAAGAAATGTCAGGGGGTCATTGACTGAAAGAACTGAGAAGAACAAGTTCTTAGGGCACATGCAGTGATTAAATGGTAATTTAAGAGTCGTTAGCGGAAGTTCATATATACATCAAAGTTTGCAGAGCATTTTATATAAATTATCTCATTTTATCCTCATTACAACCCTGAGAGTTAATTGCTCTAGATATCATTACCCCCATTTTACACATGAGAAAACTGAAGTTCACTGACATTAAGAGATATGGTCATGATCAAAAAGGTGCTAAATGTTGGGGAAAGGATTGGAAAATTCACATCTAGTGAATTAGTTATTTCCCCAGTTACTAGAGTTAGCATAATTCTCACAGGGCTCCCAATGTCCAGTTGGTTTATGATCTGTTCATTGCTATTGTAATACTAATGTAATAATACTAATAAGTAGCATTTGGTTTTCAAATATTTAAGATTTTTATCCCCCAATGACTGTGGGAAGTAGGTGCTATTATTATCTCCATTTGTGAGATGAGGAAGCTAAGGCATAGGATAAGTGACTTCTTCAGCTTCACACAGCCAGTATGACCAAGTCTGGATTTGAACTTAGATCTTCCTGACTCTGGCTTTAGCACTCTATGGCATCTGAATATAAAAGTCACCCACGGGAAGCTGATATGAAACTTTGCCAATATTCAACAGTGCTCTTTCAGAATAACACAGACTTTTTGTCCCTTCTAAGGCTAGGACCTAAAGGACAGTCTCCTTTAACAAGCCCCTTCCCTTTCTCAGTCTAGCATTTCTAACTTTAGTTGAAATAAGGCAAAGACACATTCAGTATCCAAGTAGAAAGTTCAACCCCTGTGACTCTTAAAGAACATAGTATTTTTCACAGTAATGAGTCTTGTTATTAAGATATTTCACATGCATCAGAAAATGCCTGAGGTCTTCCTAGTTGGTATGGAAATTTTTAGAGCTTTACATGAAGAAACTAAATTGCATGTCACAGAAAGTTTGGTAGGTTTCCCAGGTACAGTACCTTTAAAGACTCTCTTTACTAGCAAGGGTCGGTCTCCAGTCACAGATGCTTTTCCTCCATCAAGACTGAAGCCTAGTCCAGCAGAGGTCTTCAGTAACTCAACACACATTGCATCATTAAGATCTGCCCTTCTGCCTTCTGCAGCAAAAGCCAGAAATGTGGCATTAGAGTGCTGTCCATGTTCATTCTTCTCATAGCCACACCAAGATTCCAAAACAAGAACTTTCATGTACAGTTAAAGATTCCTGTGAATCTCTAGGGTCCCTAGTATTACCTCTGATCAGAAAAGATAGCACCTTATTATTGTTTGGTAGTTCCTAGGAGTTTTTTTAGAGAGAAGGAACAGTAGGATTTGGTAATCTCCACCCAAAATTATCTAGGAATGAATACCACCATGATGCCAAGGTTCTTAGGCAAATTTTCCAAAGGCAGCAGACTTTTCTCAAGGAGTAGCAAAGTATGGTGAATAACATACTGGACTTGGAGACAAGAAGGTCTAGGTTCACATCCTGCCTTAGACACTTGCCAGCTGTGTGGCTCTGGAGAAGTCCCTTCCCCTCTCTGAGCCTCAGTTTCCTCATCTGTGAAACAGCTTATAATAGCACCTATCTCCTGGGGTTGTTGTGAGGATCAAATGAGATAACAATATGTAAAGCACTTTGCAAACCTTAAAATGCTATGTAAATGATGTTCTTAGTAGTAATAGTTGTAATAATTATGATTAGTAGCTAACAATAATCATAACAGTTGGCATTTCATCAGTGCTCTAAAGTCTGTGAAAACACTTTATGCACTCCATCTCAGTTAAGCCTACAACAAGCCTGCAGGTCATAGGACCATAGACCGAGATCCAGTATTATTATTCCCACAGAAACATTGAGGTCTAGTGAACAGAGAGCTGGTCTCACAGCCAGGAAGACTCTGACACATGCTTGTTATGTGACTGGGCAAATCATTTCATTCCTCAGAGCTCTAGGCAATTCTCTACGACTAGTTTGTTGCAGAGTAGGTACTATTATTTATAGGTACGTAGGTAGGAGTCCTCATCCTAGAGTTCCATATACCATTAAAAACAACAGTTCCTGGTCCTGTCCCTAATACCATACCTATTTTATGGATGAAAAAAACTGAGGCTCAGAGAGCTAAGAAGAGAGGTCAGAATAGGATCTCAGAAAGGTCCCCAAGTGGGGATCATGACACACACCTGTTTAAACAGTGTTTCCAGGAAAGTCAAGGAAGCTATAGGCTGGGAAACTGACTTGTTATCTCTAGATGTGTTGAATTTGTTCATTTCAAAACAGGTAGGTAAAGGCATGACAAGGGAACCCATGGCACCTTTAATGTCCTTTCTCAGCTGTGGAAGAAGCCAAGACTATCATTTTCCAAAGCTCAAGGCCAAATTTAAGATGCATATAGTGAAAAAGATAGCAGCCATCTTAGACTTAATACTGTGGAGTCTTGTCTATATAGTCCTTTTTTCCCTCAACACTAAATGGCTAGAAAGCCCTCCATAGAACTCAGGGTTAAAGTCTTAGAGACCTTATTTGAGCTACATACTGGAAATTTGGCACTCTATTCCAAAATCAGCGAATTTGTCATCAGATTGGTGGCATTAATTCAGACTGAGGTCAAAAGATCTTAGAGTCTTAGATTTATAGTTAGGAGACAACATGGGGATCATCTAGTCTTAACTCTTCATTTTACAGATAAACTGAGGCCTCAAAAAGATAAGAGATTTGTCCAGGTCATAAAGGCAGTAAGTTGCAGAGCAGGGATTCCAACCGGGTACCTCTGACTCCAAAATCACTTTTTCTTTCCCTGCATTAACACTCTCAAGCTGGATGCTTTGAAACTAAAATGTTCCCCTTCTTCTCCTGTCTCTTTTGTTTCCTGAAATAGGAGTGGACAGAAAGGAGAAAAATCAAAACATAACATTTTCTCTAAGCCTCCAAGTACCAGAATTCCTCTCCTCTTGTTTCCCCCTGGGTTTCCTGAGCTCACAGAAAACCCTTAATGACTCTGGTGCAGGGGACAAGTAACATAAAAGGGGTGAGGCTCAAGCTGCAGGAGAGGCACCTTTAAATCAATTTTGTAAGTTGAATTCAGTGAGTGGCAGTACACTAAGTAACTCTTTAAGACTTTATGCAACTGTAAGTTGCAGAGAAGGTACAGACATGCATTGTTAGGAGCTTCCTTGCCTGGGAGTTCCTTATATCAATGAGATCACAAGTCCAGTCACTTACCCCTATCTCTGTCATTTGACTGGGGTGGGAGGGGGAGGCGGGGGGAGACCTTATACCTTGGGGTATAGAGACCTGAGGACAGACAGAAACCTCCAGAGCCTAGCTCTATTGGATAGAGACCTGAGGGCATTTCTTTCTGGGGATGTCACCAACAGAAAGAAACAGGATAGGGCAAGCAGATGAGGAGCTCACCAAGGGTGCAGCTTGAGGGTTGATGGGGGTGGAGTGGAGAGGGAAGCAGCATTCTATTAGATTCCTATTTTAACTAAATGGTTAGACTAACTAGGTCAGTTGGTCTCAGACTAACAAGGCCACATGTGGCCTCGAGGCCTGGACTAGGTGCTAAGTTCAGTTATTTCTACCTGTTGAAGGAACAAAAATTGACGCCAGAGTTTTTTAAATTTCAGCATCTTGGATCAAATCTGTGACCCTGCTATAGTTACGACTTTGAAAAGATATAAATAATGAAACACCTGTTTCTAAACAGATTTAAGTAACTTTAAAGAATCATTTTTATTAATCTGGCTTTAACCTCTGGAGCACTTAAAATCATTTCTAGTTATAACATTGGTTTTCAAGGAACAAAACAACAGAAGTAATCACATCCTGGCCAAATCTTCTGACCATAAACCTTGCACTTTCAGGCTCCAATTCCTATGGCCCCCATTTCCCAGTTTCCCATATCCCTCTTGTTCCAGAGAATGACATCTCACCTATTCCAAGTTCCAGGATAACATCCTTTTTGGACAGAGTCACCTTCCTACTTGCAGGAGTGGGCTCTTGTCTGGTAGAGCTCTTCTCCTTGTCTTTTACCTTCTTGATGACAATAACAGCATCTTTGTGCATCTTTGCTTGGTGGAGTGCATTCAAAACATCTCCATGGATGGACCCAGCCAATGAGGTGCCGTTAATGGACAGAAGGAGATCTCCTTGGTGGATGCTCCCTTCCTGAGAGGCAACTCCCTGAGAAAACACTCTGTGAACCTGTATAAATGAAGGGAAAGGAAAGTAGAAGCAAAACTGTTAACATTTTTTTTCATAGGCAACATAGTGACTTGACATTAATTTTAAATAATTAAGGGCCACATTTTCTGAATCATGTACTTAGAAGACACATAAGAAATATATGTGTTGAAATACTACTACCTACATAAAACCTTTCTTATGCTGCTAGTGCCCCACTCCCAAATACCTTGTATTGATTTTGCTTATGCTTATATAGGTATATATTGTTTCCACTGATGGAATGTAAGCTCCTTAAAGGGAAAGATCATTTCATTTTGTATTTTGTATTCCTAGTTGAAAGCCTGGAACATAGTATCCATTTAGTAAAAATTGGTCTACCTTGATAACTTTAATACATACACTACATTTTTTCCCTAAGGATGTCAAAGACCTTCTCAACCATTTTTTAAAAGTCATTATTATTTTGGCAAGAAGTTTGGGTTGCTTTACCAAAATAAAATGAGCCAATAATTCTTTTTAGAATGTACCTTATAATCCTACCCCAGAATCCACATGTAAATAGAGAAACCTGAGACCAAATTTACATAAATCCTTTGGCTCTTCTAAGGAACTGTGCCTTCAGTCAGTTTTACTAACATGAAGCAATAATAGTTCATCAGCAGCTCGGTAGATAGAGCCCTGAACCCAGATTTAGGAACACCTGAGTTCAAATGCAGCCTCAGATACTGAACTAGCTGACCCTGGGTAAGTCACTCTGTTTTCCTCAGTTTCCTCATCTGCAAAATGGGGATAATAGTAACTACTTTGCAGGTTTATTATCAGGTTCAAATGAGAGAACATGTAAATTGTTATATAAATGCTAGCTAGTATTATTATAATTATTAATTACATAATAGTTTTAAGTTAACAAAGTCCATTATGTACATTATCTCATCTGATCCTTATGACAACCCTTCAAAGGAGGTACTGCAGGGATTATTATTCCCATTTTACAGTCTAAAACTCAAACAGGTAAAGTGAGTTGCTTATAGTTTCAAAGCAACGAAGTGGCAGTAGCAGGATTTGAACTCATGTCTCCTGTGCTCTTACTCATAGGATCATACATTTAAACCCAGAAAGAACCTTGGGGCCTATTTAATCCAATTCCTTCATTTTATCTAGGAGGAAGTGAGGTCCCAAGAAAGGAAGTGACCTGCTCAAGGACACATAGGTGGTAAATCAGTCCAGTGTTTTTTCACACTACATTACAGAACTTCAGAGAAAAGGAAAGGTAAGAGTTCTCCTCTCTTTCCATTTATTTTGCCTCTGAATGGTATTCCCCCCTACTTCTCTAAAAGTGAAGAAATAGTCTAAAAAAGATTAATAAAATTCTTGGAAGGATTTTTCTACATAAACAAAAAGCTGGTCTGAAAAGTACAAAATAAAAACTTATTAGGGGCAGCTAGGTGGTGCAGTGGATAGAGCACCGGCCCTGATGTCAGAAGGACCTGAGTTCAATTGTGGCCTTGACACTTACTAGCTGTGTGACCCCTGGTCAAGTCACTTAACCCCAATTGCCTTATTGACCAAGCAAGGGGAAGAGACAGCAATTATTACGTCCAGTGTGTCTAGGGCAGAGGGCACTGATGAATAACGTATTATAAGGAGCCCTGAAAACAATATGGGGAACTCCACTGATACCTACTGAGACCTAGTATCAAGCTAATAATTAAATTTCCAGTTAATGAAAAGTACATTAATGTCTATGTCTACTTAAAATGTTATCCATCGTTCCTTCTTCCCTTTTCTTCATCTCAAAATCTCTTGACCTAGCCCTAGCCACCCTGCCCACACAGACACACACACACACGCACACATAAACGCGCACACACACATGTGCACACACACACACACACACACACACACACACACACCCCTACACCCCTTTCCCTCAGGGCCTTCTCCTGGCTGAGTCTAGCCTCACTCCCTGTACTCCTGATCCCATTACCTCCTGTTTTCTCAAACAGATTGCTTCTTTAATCACCCCCTCCCCTTCAAATATCCAAAGTTTATGTACTGGCTCCTTCCCCAGTGTCTTCAAACAGAGTCAAGTCTCCCCCAGCCTTAAAACAAACAGTCTAAAAACTCAATCCTTCACTCCACTCTATCATCCCCACAAGCTATAGTAGTATATCTCTCTCCTCCCTTTCTTAGTCATAGTCCTAGAAAAATCTCCCTATACTTGTCGTTTCCACTTTTCTCCTATCGTTGGCTCATCAGCCCTTTGAAGTCTGGTTCTGACTTTATCACATGACTGAAACAACTCTCTTCAAAGTGATCAATGACCCTTAATTGTCAAATTTAATGGTTTTTTAAAAATTTTCTAGTCCTCATCTTTCATGAGCTATCTGCCCCATTTGATACTTTGGACCACCATACCCTCTTAGACACTCTCTTCTCTATGGGCTTTTTTTTTCTGACACTATTCTCTTCAGATTATCCTTTTTACCTCTCTACTCTCTCCTTCCCAGTCTTCTTTGCTGGTTTATAATCCAGATCATGTCCCCCAGCAGCTCATGTTCTTAGGGCTCTTTCCTAGGCCTCTTCCTCTTTTGTCTCCCATCTCTGTCTCTGACCTTATCACTTGTCCTGGGTTTAATTATCATCTCAATGTTGATGCTTCTCAGGTCTACATAGTCAGCTGTAGTTTCTCCCCAGTGCTTCAGTCTTGCATCACCGATTGTCTATTGGCTATCTGAAACTGGATGTCCCAGAGACATCTCAGATTCTTCTGAACTTGCCTTTCTGTTGAAGACACCACTATTCTTCTGGGCTCATAACCTTGGTCTTATCCTCTACTCAGTGCTTTCTCTGATTCCACTTATCCAATCAATTGCCAATTTTGTCTTTTCCATTTCCATATCATCTCTTATATTCAATTCCTTTTCTCTACTTCTAGTTACCGCTCCATTTCAGGGCCTCTTCTCTTGTACTTGGTCTTTCTGCCTCAAGTCTCTCTCCACATCAGTCCCTCTTCCCCACTCCTGCCAAAGTGATTTTACTTAAGCTCAGATCTGACCATGTCACTCCTACTCAACACACTCTAGTGCTTCTCTGTTCCTCACACTCCCATCTCCCATCTCCATACCTTACCCTGGTGGTCCCCCATACCTGAATGCACTTCCTCCTCACTTCTACCCCACAGAATACCTCTCTTTCTTTAAGGTGCAGCTTGGACATATCATTTTGCATTAAGCTTTTCCTGATCCCATCAAATACTAGTGTCCTCTCTTTCTCCCAAAACTTCCTTGCATTTAGCTTCTTTGCACTGAGTTGTGCTTGCTCTTTTCATATTTATCCTGCACATACTTCTACGTGACATTGTCCCACTAGCTATTGTACAAGCTCATTACAAGTAGGGATTGTTTCATTATTTGTACCCTTGGCACCTTGCACAGTGCCTGGCACTTATTAGGCCCTTAAAGTTTGTTGATCAATAAAAAGAATATCACTTATTACCTCAATAGTGCAGGCTCCAGTTTCTCATTTTATAAGCTGCTGGCATGAACTAGTATAATTTTAAAAACTATATAATTAAAAATTTTTTTTTGAGTTCCAAATTCTGTCCCTCCCTCCCCTACCAAGAAGGCAAACAACATATCAATTATACATATAAAATCATGCCGAACATTTCCATATTAGCCATATCACAAAAAAGCAAGAAAAATAAAGAAACTGAGAAAACTATATTTCAATTTTCAGTCAGGAGCTCATCAGTTCTCTCTCTGGAGGTGGACAGCATTTTTCATCATGTGCCCCTTGGAATTATCTTAGATCACTGTGTTGATCACAGTAACTAAGTCTTTCACAGTTGATCATCATTATAATATTACTGTTATTGCATACAATGATCTCCTGGATCTGCTCACTTCACTTTGCATGAGTTTATATAGGTCTTCACAAGTTTTTCTGAAACCATCTTCCCCCCTTATCATTTCTTACAACACAACTGTAATCCATCACAATCATATGCTATAACTTCTTCAGCCATTCCCCCATTGATGGGCATCCCCTCAATTTCCATTTTTTTGCCACCACAAAAAGAATGGCTATAAATATTTTTGTACATAAAGATCCTTTACCTTCTTCTTTAATTCTTTGGGATACAGACCTATTAGTGGTGTTACTGGGTCAAAGGGTTTGCACAAAAAACTCATAGCATTTAAAAGCACATTATAGCTCATCTTGACATGAAATGAGGCCTGACAAATGAGCAGCTCATCCAAATTTGAGATGACTGGCAGGCAGTTTTCCTGGGGGAAACCTGAGGCCAATACTTACAGTAATTGATTTCTGCTCCAGATCTACTCCACCTGCCACACTGAATCCCAGACCTGAGCCACTTTCTTTATTCAAGACCACAAAGAAAATATCTTCTTTATTCTAATGAAAGAGAACAGAAATAAATGTTATGGCTTTTTTCGCCTCATATCAAGACAAAACAAAATTATATAAATATGTCCCTCTGCACAACAGACTTCTTTACCCATAGGCTTTGCACACACTACCACTGACCCAGTGTATCAGAAAGAGCTCTTGGGCTTAGAGTCAGAAGTCAAGGATTCAAAACCGTCTTCTATGATTTTTAGACTAGATCTGTAGTTCTGGGCAGATCTCAATATGAGTATCAGCTGTGCAATTGGCTCTTTAATTTAGTGGTTTCACAAGGATATGTGTGTATGTGTGTGTGTGTGTGTGTGTGTGTGTGTGTGTGTGTGTGTGTGTAAAACTTCTTAGTTCAATGTTTTTTGTTTTTTACATTCACCTTTCTAAAATCTCTCCTTTTTCGGGATTTCTAGGCATTTAATTGGAGGTTTTGTCTCATTTTTTGGTCATTATCTTGAATGAAATTATTATTGTTTCTATGATTTGTTCTTCAATCTACCTATTCTTTAGGATTAAGCTTAGTTTCCAATTAATTTTTATCTTTGCTTCAAAGAAACCTAATTGAATATAATTTTATTGCATTGTGGCCAGAATTCATTTACTATTTCTGATTTTCTACATTTGTAAGGTTTTTATGGCCTAATATGTGGTCAGTTTTTGTGAAGGTGTCATGTAAAGATGAGAAATAGGTATGTTCTTTTCTATTCCCTGACAGTTTTCTTCAGAATCCTATGATATCTAACTTTTCTAAAATTGTGTTCAGGTCTTTCATTTCTTCCTTACTTTGTGGTTAGATTTATCTTGGGCCTAAGAGGAGATATATTTAGGTCCCCCCCATTATAGGTCTATCCCTTCCTATAACTCATTTAACTTATCCTTTCAAGAATTCAGATGCTCAGCTGTGTGACCCTGGGAAGTCACTTAACTCCAATAGCCTTGCCCACTCCAAAAAATCATTCAGATGTTGTGCCATTTGGTGCACCTATGTTTAGTATTGATATTAATTCATTGTTTATGGCAGTGGTTTTAAACTCAACTAGATACAGATCCCTACATATCATACAATGACATAGGAAACTACAAATTAACATTTTTTGTGGTGGATTATATTTTTATTTATTTTATGAAACATTTCCCAATAACAGTTTTGGCCACAAATTTGATATCTCTGGTCTATGGTGCCTTTTAGTAAAGTGTGGTTTCCCTACTTATCTCTTTTAATTAGGTCTATTTTTGCTTTTTACTTTGTCTGCAATCATGGATGCTATCCCAGCTTATTTTACTTCAGCTGAAGAATAATAGATTCTACTCCAGCACGTTGTTTTAACCCTTTGTGTGTCTTTCTGTTTCAAGTGTATTTCTTGTAAATGGCATTGTTGGATTCTGGCTTGTAAACCATTTTGCTATATCCTCTTCTGTTTTATGGGTAAGTCCATCCCATTCCCATTCACAATTACAATTGCTAAATATATATTTGTTTCCATCCTCTTCTCTTGTACTTATTTAAGAATTTCTTCTGCTTCTGTCTACTGATTCTCTTAATTTACCCCCTTCCTTTTCCTTCATCTCTTTCCCTGTTTCCCTGTTGGGTAATATGTATTTCTGTACCCTACTGTGTATCTCACCTAGGACGGACAGGATTGTTGTCTTTAGGTGAAAGTCACATTAGATTTGTTTAGTGGCTCCAGAAGGGAGGCCTAGGAGTGATGGGTGGATTTCATAGGTTAGCATATTTCACATAAACATTGAGAAGAACTTTTAGGCTCTTCAAAAATTGGAATAGGTTGCCTTGGGGGAGCTAAATGACTTCACACTTTTCCTCTGCAGGATCATCATTCTTGTCTTGTTTCCTTTGTGGGCATGCACCCAAGGTCTCTGTCCTGGACCATCTCCTGTTCTTTACTCTTATATTGTGATCTTATTCACTGCCATGGATTCAACTATCATCTCATGCAGATAACTTCCACACTTACATATCTAGCTCCCTCTCTGTCTTGAGCTCAGTAACTGCACCCTCAGCTGTCTGTTGGATAGCTCCATGTCATATGCAAAATGGCCAAAATTGAACTTGTTATCTTTTCCTTTAAACATATCCCTTCTTTTAACTTCTCTATTTTTGTCAAGGGCTTCCAGATCCTTACAGTCACGAGGCTTAAAACCTTGGAGTTATCCTTGACTTTGCCTTCTTATTTTCTCCCCTTCCTATCTAATCAGTTGCCATACCTTGCTGATTCTATCCCCAACAACAGCTCTGACATCTACCTCCATCTCTCTGTTCATTTGGTCACCACCCTAGTTCAGGTCCTCATCACCTTTTGTCTTGATTACTGCAATAGCCAGTTGGTTTCTGAAGGCATCCATATTCTTCCCTCTCTAATCAGTCCTCCACCAATCTATTGCTCCCATGATGCCCTCAGTTTTCTAGTTTGACACCTCTGCTATACACCGTTGCCAAAGTGATATTTCTAAAGTGCAGGGCTGACCATGTCATTTCTTTCCTTTAGAAACTTTGCCTGCCCTTTATTGCCACAAGGCTCAAGGAAGAAAATAAGCATTTATTGAGAGGCTATTATCTACATAGGCACTGTCACGTTGCACATATTATCTCCTTTGATCCTCCTACCAACTCTGGGAGATAGATGTTCTTATGTTCCTATTTTATGTTTGAGAAAACTGAGGCAGCAAAGGTTAAAGGAGTGTACCAGAGTCACAGAGTTAATATGTGTCTGAGGCCCAGTACGCTATCCGTTATGTCACCTGATTGCCTGAAATACAAACTCTTCTGTTTGTTATTTAAATGCCTTTACACTGTTGCTTTGAACTACCTTTCCAGGACAATTACATGTTACTCTGCTGCCCTCAAATTCTACATGTGAGCCAGGCTGGACTGTTTGTTGTTCAATGCTCCATGTCAACACAAAGCTGGTGAATGCTTGTTGGGGATGTTGGGATTCTGGGCCTGATACAGGTAGGACTGAATGGCCTCTGAGTTCTCAACAACTCAGATTCACTACTGAGAACCAACAAGTGGGGAAGTTGGCCATGGTCAACAAGGTTGATTAGATTAAAAGTCAAAGCCTCTGTTGTGTCATTGAAAATGCCTGTGCAAGATGGAAACAGCTACATGAACACCACAGTTGAAGATGATTGAGTTATGGCTGTTTATACAGCTGAACCAAACGGCTGGATGTGGACTTTAAAAGAAAGATAGAATCAGAGAGAACCAAAACTGAAAGAATAAGAATGGAAAAAGGGTACAAAAATTCTGAATAAGGGCTGCTAGTCAATGATGCCCCCTTCCCCCAAAAAAACCACATGGACCCAGGGGAAGAGGAATCTACATGGCCACAGAAATGGCAACAGCCAGAGGTAGAGGGAAGCAGTGAAGGCATTTCTGGATATTTGGAATAATTCTGGGACAAGGTCTCTGGAGAGAAGGGTTCCTGGACCAAGCAAGGAGCCCCAGGACCAATCAAGAATCAGTGTGGAGGAACAGCAAGGGATAAGGCCATGATGTAGAGGAGCTATGAAGTATATCAACTGGGCAGGTCTGGTCAAGGCAGCTGACTCTGTTGACCCTCAGATCTTTCTCCTTTCAGAGATGGCTCAATCATAGTTTAGCAGTGTAAATCTGGAGACTAAACAAGTTGCTGGGTGAATTAGGGCTTGCCATTAGCAAAGGGATCAATTCCCTAATAACCCCAAGTGCTTTTCCTTTTTTATTGGGGGAGGGGAGCCTTGCTATACAGAGGACTGTGTATGTTCCTGAACAAAATGGAGATCAGCCAGCAAGGGAAGAATTTTTTTTCTCTGTTCAACAGCTTGGGTGGGGAAAGAATTTTCTGTACATTGTGTTTTCTGTCAGGTGAAATAGTATTTGATATATTATTAATTTGAGTGCTTGCATGAGAACTGAGGATCCTTTTACCATTTTTGTAAAGACCTAGAGACACATTAATTTGGTGTTCCCAAGGCAGTAAACCATAGGTGGGGCAGGAGCCAAAGAGTATGATTTTTGGAAAGCCTTCTATGATAGAATCCATTCCATGTATATCCAGAGCTTCAGAAACAAAAACACTTCTGTGTAGCCAAAAGCAAGGCAATAAAGACCATACACTAAAAATCATTTATTATACTCATAAGATAGCATCTTGAACTGTGGAAGTCAAATCACTATCACTTATTTTTACCTTCTGTTGAGTTTTGTTTCATCTTTCTGATGATTCCTCCTCTTGGTTTTAATTTTTACTTACAACTTCACTAACGTGAAAACATGTTGAATGGGAATGTAAATGTAAAGCCCATATCAGATTGTGTGCCATCTTGGGGAGGGTGGGGGGTAGGAAGGGGGAGAAAAATTTTCCACTCAAAAGCATATGAAAGTGATTGTTGATAAATCAAAATAAATTAATAAAATAAAAAGCACATAGCATCTTAAGCCTAAGTCATACCTTATTTATTGTTATTTTGGACATAATTCCAATAACTTTGGCAGTTTGATTTCTAAGTCCATAATAGAAGGGAAGGGTAACCACCTAAGGCCAATATAATGATAAAAGCAACTAATAGAAAACACAGCAATTGGGGACCATTTGAGGGTAGGGACGTAGATTGCTATAACCTAAATGGCCTTTGAGGGTTTCACTATATTACAGAATAAGGAATATCTAATTAATGAGTATGAGTCATAAGATTTTCATCAAGCACCTACAATGCATTATGCTGCTTTTATGGAACCTGTGATTTCAGTGGGATAGGGAACATTAAGGAGAGGAAACTCCCTCTACCTGTTCTGCAGATGATCATCACAGACAGGTGCCTAGAGCTCTGAAAGGTCAAATCATTTGCACAGGATTCCATTGCCAGTATATGTCAGACTTGAGCATATGTCTTCCTTACTCTAAGTCTGGCTCTATGTACCATGGCCTGCTGCCTCCACATCATTAGTGTAGTTGCTTAATAAATGTTTTATTGAATGAATGAATGAAAATTGTAAAAAGTCAATGAAATTTTGAGACTTAGGCAAATTTACAGTTTTTGGAAAATTCTTTTCTGTGGAATGACTATTCTCTCCCACTGCCCCTCCCACCTCTCAATGTCAGGGAAAGGTTGCATTCCTAATTTTTACTTACCTCTGTTTGTGCTTTGGCTTCTCGAATCAGAGTCAAGATATCAGATTTTGACCCCACTGATGACAAGACAGACTGCAATTTTTGCTGGTCCAGGGATGAGACTGAAAGTTGGTCCAAACTAAGAGTAAAAACAGATTTAAAGCTGTGACATTGAACAGAACACCCACTCCCACTTCATTTAGATCCATTTTCCTTCTTATAAAGTAGGTGATATTTTCTCATTTTCATAAATACCGTAAAGCAGAGAAAGGGGTACCTTCTACCCTAACAGCACAATGCCAAAGGATTCCTCTGAACTGCTGGGAGATGGACTGTCCCTTGTAGTACTCTCCTGCCTTAAAGCTCAGCTCCTTAGGGCTTCATTGTTACCATACTAATAACGTTTTTCAGAGTGCTAGGAGTGCCCTCTTTTAAAAAACACATTTTACTGAATATTTTGTTTTTTCATTACCTGTTTCCCAATGTATCAGTCTTCCCTTTCTCTCCAGTCTGCCCTTATAAAAAGAGGAGTTTTAAAAAATCAAACTGAAAGAGCTTAGCAAAACTGAAATGTCAGAAAGAAGTCTGATGGTATATGCAGTATTCCATACCCACATTCTCCCACCTCTGCAAAGCAGGGAGAGGTGCCTTCCCACCTCTCTTGTTTGGCACCAACCCAGCCCATCAAAATTGCAGCCTTTAGTTTCGATTGTTTTGTTGTTGCTGCTTTTCTCACCTATATTGCTATGATTATTAGGGATGGTTTTTTTTCCCCTCCTGGTTCTACTTCCATGCTGTTCTGCATAAACCATATTCATTGTTTTTTATCGTATGGTAATATTTTCCAACATTCATGTCGTACAATTTGTTTAGATCCATTCCTCCATCATCTTTGTTTCCAGCTATTTGTTATTGCAAAAAGTGATAGCGTAAATATTTTGGTGTGTATGAGGACCCCTTTTTCTGTCAACTGAGTTTCACCTTGGGGCATCCAAGGAACCCGCAGTCGAATCTCTGGGTCAAAGGGTATAAACACTATAGCCACTTCCTTCACATAATTCCAAACTGCTTTCTGTAATGGTTGGATCAATTTACCCTCCAACAATGACTCTTCCCTTCTGTCATCTTTGACATTTTTTGGAGGTTTATTTCATATGGTTGTTGATGGTTTGAAAGTCTTCTTTTGAAAACTTTGTTAGGAGCAGGTAGGTGATGCAGTGGAGTCAGGAGGATCCGAGTTCAAGTCCGGCCTCAGACACATGATACTCACTAGCTGTGTGACCCTGGGCAAGTCACTTAACCCTGATTGCCTCACCAAAAAAAGAAAACTGTTTATTCATATCCGTTGACCACTGACCTATGGGAGAATGGCTTTTGTTCTTATGTTTCGATTAGTTGTCTATCCATCTTGGACATCAGATCCTCATTAGATATATAGAATTTTTTTCTCTAGTGCACTGATTCCCTTCTTATCTTCGTTGTATTAATTTTGTTCATGTAAAAACTTCTCAATTTCATCTGATCAAGATTCTTTATCTTTTATCATCACCTTTCTCCTTTGTCTGGTTATGAATTCACTCTCTTGCTATACATGTGAGAAATAGATGATGTGGTTAATGTCTAATCTTTTTGTGGTGTGTTTTTTAGTATTGAGACCATTGTATATATTTGGAATTTATTGTGGTATATATATAAGGTGTTAGTTTATGTCTAATTTTTGCCAGAAGGTTTTCTGGTTTTGTCAGTAATGTGTATCAAAGAGGAAGTGCTTTCATAGTTATCTTATATTTGGAGTTTTACTGAATACAGAATTATTGAATGAAAGTATTTCTGGTAATTCCTTGTGTAGTCTGTTTCCCTGAGTTATCATCTTCTCTACTTTTTAACCAGTACCAAAAAGTTTTGATGATTATTGCTTTAGAATATAATTTGAGCTTTGGAAATGCTATTTCCCCTTCATTCCTATTTTTTTCGTTATTTACCTTGATATTATGGATATTTTGTTCTTCGAAATGAATTTTGCTATTGTTTTGTCTGGTTCTGTAAAATGTTCCTGTGTTTTATTATAGTACTAATTCTATAAATTAATTTCAGAAGCATCATCATCTTTATTATACTGGCACGGAGCAGGCAGAAGCATGGAATCTCCCTAATAAAGTAGTGGTTTGTAATTGTAACTATATAAGTGTTGAGTGAACTTTGACAGAACAAATCCCCACGTATTTCATAGATTTTGTTGTTATTTTGAATGGAACTTTCCTTTTTATTATTCCCTCTTGAATTCTGCTATTACACATTTGTTTTCTTAATCTGAAACTTTATTGAAGCTATTAATTATTTTAATTTTTTTCTATGTTGAGTCTTTAGGCTACTCTAAGTAATCCACCATAGGAGTAGGGATATGGACAAGAACTGTGATGTTATTGCTATTAGGGAGCTTTCCAATGAGTAATCATCTCTCTACAATGTGGATTCTCATCTCTTCTGTAACTTAGAGAGTAGCCTAGAACACTAAGAATTTAAGTGACTGGCCCAGGATCACGCAGGCATCAGGTATCAGTAGCAGAGCTTGGACCCAGGTCTTCCAGGCTCTGAAGCTGAACTCTATTCAATATATTATGCTGCATTTATAGTATCAGCAAAAAGGGACATTTTTATGTCTTTATTTTTCTTGCCTTATTGTTCTCTCTAGCATTTTTAGTAGGGAAAGGAAGAATGCCCTTGTTTAAATCAGTCTTCATCTTTTAATTGTAAAGGACCTCAGAGGCCACCTAGCCTTTAACCTGTAGCTAACAAGAATTCCCTCTAAAACATCCCTGATACTCGTCATCCAGTTTAAATTTGGAACCTACATTGATGGGGAACTCACTACACCCCCAGGCAGCACCTTTCCTACTTGGCTAATACTTAGGAATTTCCTTCCCCTCTCTCAGAAGTGATCTTCCAGTACTCCCAGCTCTGCTCTGTAGGCTTATGAATTTTACACCTGGGTTGCATCAGTTCCCCTCTCTTTTCACATTCTGCCATCTGCCCAAAAATGTCCTTTGTTAGGTGACAGTTTACAATTAAATTGTAAAGAGCAACTTTGCAAGAAAAAGTCTCAATTCAAGTTATGTCAACAAGTTTTTTTTTCCTTGGTGTTAGGCACCACGGTAAGTTCTGAGAATACATAGGCATTTCTGCAGATTTTTTCCAACTTATTTTTAAAAGAAAGAAAACAAGGCATCAATAAATATAACTGATTTTTGTTGTTGTTCAGTCATTTCAGTCATATCTGACTATCTGTGACCCCATTTGGGGTTTTCTTGGCAAAGATACTAGAGTGTTTTGCCATTTTCTTCTCTAGATAATTTTACAGATGAAGAAACTGAGGCAAATAGGGTTAAATGACTTGCCCAGTTTTTTATTAAAAAAAAACTTTATTCACATTTTAGAAAAACCAGTTTTAGGGTAAGGAGTTAGGGCATGTCCATGGAAAGGGGGAAAGGTCAGAAAAGAGCCAGGATTTGGGGGGCACTGGAGAGAAGGGCACTGATCTCCAGTTGAGGCAAGTAGAAGGATTGGGGCCATGCCTGCAGCTTTGGAAAACCTCCCAGCCTGGCAGAACAGAGGGGGAAATCCTGGTCCCCCCAAATAAATACAAAGGGCTGGAGACAGAAGGGCCAGATTAGGGATATAGGATAGAGGAAGTTTAGGCAACTGATGCTGGGCTGGGAGTTGAGCTGGAAGACAGCTTGTGCCATGGTGGGGTTAATAAGTTAATAAGTATCTGTGGCTGCATTTGAACTCAGGTCTTCCTAACTCCAGGCCTGACCCTCTATCTACTGTGCCACCTGACATAATTTTTTCTTTCAAGGGAAAAGAAAGGAAACATACTTACCCAATAGACCAACTCCTTCCAAAGCACCTCCTATCCACTGAATTTTCCTGGATTGTTGTATCTTCATCAGAGGCTGAAGCAGGAGTCCCAGAACCACTAGTCCAAGGACTGTTTCCCTTAGAACACAACCCGTCCCCACTCTGACCTTTTGCCAAATGTGAAAGGGAAGGCGATCCATTGAGGTTTGCAAGGCTTTCAGTTGGAAGGCCAAGGGATCTACTGGGAGTAATTTCTAGCTCAGTTTTAAAGTGGCCAGCTACTGGTTCCACTGAATAGTCCTCATCACAAAGCTTGTCAAGGTCGGGCATGCTCAAAGCCCTTAGCTCTCTAAGTTTTGAGCGGGATAAAGGACATGGTCGAGCTTGGCTTCCCACTGTCCTGTTCCTCCTGATGTGAGAAGATGTGGTCACTGTTGGATTATAACTTGCTGGAGGGTCAAGTAACTTTTTTTGGTCCACACCAGGGCTCTCTCTTCTCCCTTTTATTAGATTCGGTGGAGAAACTGGGAGAGCTATAGTCGACGGTGATTTGTTTAGCTGGGGGGCCAACGAAATGGTTTCATTTTGGTTTTCGCCACATGAGCTCAAGCTTCGTCGTAAGCACCTCATGGTGTCGCTTGAGATGCTGGGTGTCCCTGAATATATATTACCTGATGATCTCCTCACAATAGGAGGTTTGGAGTTAATGGATACTGCTGAAGGGAAATCAATGGACTTGACTACAGGCCTGTCAAAACTGGCTAGATTCTCAAAAGATTTGATCCTCTGTTTCACAGAAAAAGATGAGGTAGGTTCATGGGGCCAGTTTAGCTCATAGTAATAATGCCTCCTGGTGGCTTTTATTCTATCTGTGACAAGGTAGTTTGTATCCTGGGCACCAAGGGCACTAGCACCTCCCTGGTCTGTTTTTGGGATGCTCTGGGAAGTTTCTGACAGGTGTTTTCCTCCTTGTATACTCTGTCCATTAACCAGGCCAAGAAGGCCACCTTTGAATATTCTTGTCTCAGGAACGCAAACATATTTTTCATCTGCCACAGAATTCTGGCTGTCTTGAAGAGGGCGTCCTGCAGATTCTACAGAGTGACTTTCACCTCCAAAATGGCTTGCAAGTTGGGCTGGCATGGAATAAGTCCTTGTAACTGGCCTTGGGGCGCAATAGGGACCATCATTCAAAGTGATGACATTTTTGGAACTCCCAGGAGGTTCAGACATCTGGTTCATTCTCTTCTGGTTATAAGCTGTCTTCTCTGCAGGCAGAGGTGGGGAAGGGCACACAGGCAAGAAGAAGGAGGAAGAGGAAGAGAGTCTTACCTCGATGAAACTTCTTTGGATTTCTTGTCCTTCTAGGGGATCTTCCTGAATGGAGTGAGAAGCCAGAGAAGTGGGGTGACTTGGGGATAGCTCCACTCTTCTGTGGCAGAACTTGCTTTCACCTTTTTTGTGACCATTTTCTCGGGCAGAGAACCCTCTTTGGTCACTTTGAGCTGCTAACTTGTCACCACCTGGGCTTTTGGGGTTTCTTTCAGAAGAGATGGCAATTATTTTTACCTGGTTCATTCTGTCTCGAGAATCACCAGCAGCTGCCTTGCTCCCCTTTTCACCAAGTCCACTGGGGAGAGCTGAGACCATTATTGCTTCTTTTGGGTTGGAAAGGCCAAATTCATTTTGTCCAAGGAGTCTATTTTCATTTGTGTTCCGAGTCATAGGGATGCTTCCATCTGATACTGGGGAACTCATTGGCCCAGACACAGCCAAGGCTAATTTGCTCTCCTGTCCACGTGGAGGAGGTTTGGGAGCCATGGGACAACTTTTGTCTGGTTCTCCATGGACAGCAATGCTGCGAGAGCCCAATACTCTCTTCGAAAGCGTTTTGGGAGAGGTTTGGGGTGACGTAAAGCTTTTTCTCTGCTCAGTCCCACTGACCTTGGCAGTTGGAACAGTACTGGAGGCTTCTGTGCTGGTTTTGTTCTTGCTTTTGATGCTGAGGCCTTTCAGCTTTGGCCCAGACCTAGGTTTGTGATTGTTATTGAGAAGCATTTCCATAAAACTTTTGGGTGTTGGCCCTTTTGTTTCAGGATTCAATTTTGGTTGAGATGAAGGACTGTGCATAGTAGTAACCCCCTTAACATGGTTTGTGCCAGGAGTGTGAGTTTTAGTGTTGGAACTTTTTGTTGTGGCTACACACTGTTCCTTTTCATTTCTGCTTTGCACATGATTAATTTTATTTGGATCTTTGTACTGGGCTAGAAGGGGACTCCTAACCATTTTTTCTGGTCCTTGTCTCAAGTCTCCCAAGTCTTGACATTCAGAGATATGAAGGCTGGTGAAATCACATTCTTCATTATTAGACAAGCCTTGATTTAAAGAGAATTGAGCACATCTGTGACTATCAACTGCCTTAATGGTTGCTTCTTGCTTTTTGCATTGGGATTTATTGTCCAGCAAGCTGTGTTCTAGGCCATTGACCAATCTGGGGCTGATGAAAGGGACTGGGGGCTTGTGCACAAGGCCACAGCCTCTGGAAGATTCGCAGGTTTCCACAGCTTTGCCAGTGCTAGCTTCTTGCATTTTCCCTTCTGTATGTAACGCTCTGCATCCCTGTGGAATATTTCCATCTGAATATGCTGAGCTGTCCCGGGAGTCCTTATCCAAATGGGAGGAAGGAAGGGAGTCCAAAGGAACTGTTCTGACTGTATTTGCCTGCTGGTGAGAGTTGGGGAGTATAGGTTTTTCTGGACCAAAGGAAGATGTTGTATGTGCAGTTGTCTGTAAACTACCCATTACAATACTTTCTAATGGTGAAACTTTGTCTGCTGCTGGGTAAGGTGGATCCCAGGAATGTGGGCTGGGTCGCTGCTCCACTTCAGAGGGTGGCTTTGGGTGAGTATTCATGCAACAGATTTCAATTTGCTCCTCATCTGACTCTGTGGCATTGCTCTGAGAAGAGCAAGATGGTGGATGGGATGGCCTGCTGTTCTGGATAGGAATGGGTGTGGCTTCTGTAAGAGATTCTGAGTCTGAATGTGAATCCTCAGCAGCTCCATACATAGACTTTGGTGATGGCTCAGTGGTGTCAGCTTCCCTATGGCAAAATGAGGACAAGCTGTCTTCATGTAAGCTGCTAAAATTCCTCGAATAGCTACTCAAACAGTTTTTATTCACAGTAAAATGCTTGCCTGGATTAATTGAATCCAGAATTGAAAAGTGAGAGGTCCACTGAGGCTGAGGCGTTGGATCTTGTTTAACCATGCTCTGCTCCACCTGGCAAGGGCTGCTGCTGCTTGTCCCAGAGTTTCTCTGAGAACCTCCCTCCCCACAAAGGGAACCTGTTTTTGGAGGACTCTCAGATCTTCCTTCACAAGCATCTAACTCACTGATGATGCTGTCAATGTCACTCACTGGCATCTCCTCAGGACCACTGACTCTTAATCCACTACCTATCTGCACTTCTTTGGTACTGACAAGAGATGGCAGCATGGAACCAGATTGTATAGTTCCCTCTGTTTCAGAGGCTGGAGCTCCTTTTGAGTGAGTTTCTCCTATGGTGGGCAGAGTCCCACTGGGGTCAGTATTAATCAGCTCCTTCTCCCCTGGTGATTCAAGGTGGTCCTGTGAGCTATCCACAGCTGTTTAGAGAAATAAAAGGGGGGAAAAAGGTGGGATGAGAGGAAGACTCTCTCAGTAAACAGAGGTCAACAATGCCATTCTTGGGAAAACACTGAATTTTGAATCCTTCTGCTGTTTATTACCTGCCTTGTGACACTGGGTAAATCACTATACCTCTCTGAGTCTCTGTTTCCTTATCTGTAAAATGAGGCAGTTGGATGAATGGATTGTTAATGTCTTTTCCAGCTTTTGAAATCCCATGATCCTGCCTGGAAGCTCTAAAATTCCCCCAAAGAAATGAAATGGAAAATTAATCCTAGTGTTAGAGAATACATCTACAGCAGGTTTTGGAGTATCTTCTCTGCAGAGTTCCCTTTGCCTAACAATGTCAATTAAAAAGAAAAACCCCAGCAGAAATAGACATGGCCCTCTCAGGATCATAAAGTGCCCTGCATATATTACTTCATTTTAGTTTCACAAACCCTGTGGGGTAGGGATCAAAAGTATTTGCCCATTTCACAGAATAGGAAACTGAAGTCCAAAGAGGTGAAATGATTTGCTACTGGCCACCTAGCTAGGACTTGAACCACACAGACAGCTCTTCTGATTTCAAAGCCAGAGGTCCTTTCGCTACAGGGTACTACTTCTCCAGTGTCATCATGTTTCAAAAGTTCTAAAAATAATCGGTAGTAGTAGGCAAAGTAGGTGCTTTGTTTTTTGTTAGTTCCTATCTATTGGTGCTTCTTAAGGTAATGGAAGTAGCAAATAGCAACAGGTCCTAGGGCCATACCTACTGAAACCCTTCTCAGTTCTCAGATCAGCAAGGGATTAGCACTGTCTCCAGGACCCCTCTACAACTCCTTCACAGCTGTCTCACCTCAATTAGTCCTTCCTCTAGTACCGACCATTATTTAGCTATAAGTGCAAGGGACCAGCCTGGAAGGTGGAATTAATATAGGACCCATGTCACTAATAAGTTTTCAAAATAGTTGAGATGAGACTAACTTGTAGGGGAAAATATGAAACAATATTTTTAATTTTGTAGTATTTTATATTTTAAATGACATAGTTCCATACCAAATTTCTTGGTACACACTGTGGGAAAAGTTCAGAGAAGAGAAGAAAGTAAGAGAGGGCTGGGGTATTTCAGGTTAAGGCTGAAAGACCGCTGGTCAGGGACACTGTAAAGGGACTCCTCAGTCAGCTACCATATGCCATTAGATGGCTTTGGATCCTCCCTCCCAATTCTTGACACTCTATGGCAGTGGAAGATAAAGAAGACGGTAGGCTTATGTTCTGAACAACAGGCACACTGAAGAGTGTGAGAGAGGACATTCCAGGATGGAGGAGGGAGCGGCGCTATATCTGGCCACTGGACCCAGATGGCTCCAGAGGAGAGAGTGAGGCTGGTGACTGCTCAGCCCTGCCTCACATTTAATTCACTTGCAAGTCATGACGTCACCTTTGTGATGTCATTAATCTTCTTCAAGAACGAAGGACAAAAAACAATCTGTGAGTAGTAGTAGCTGCCCCACTGGGGACCCAGCTGACCAGTTCCAGTTGGGCAATACCCCTTCCTTCCCTACTTCCTTCCCTCCTTCCTTCCTTCCTTCCTTCGCCTCCTCTCCCTCTGTCCACACAGGGAATCATACTCTTACCTGTGGGTGCTCTGCCCAAAGGAATATAAATTTGGAGTTCTTCTCTTCCCTACTTATTTATTCTATCATTAGAAAAAAAAACTAGGACAATTAACTCTTTTGCCCCATGTAGCTTCATTTATGATTTCTTGAAATACAGTATAGCACTGGAAAACCAGGGTTTTGATAAAACTCATTCCAATCCAAATAGAGCTACCTGATCATGCCTTAAATCCGAATCACTTGGCTCTTACCGATTGGCCAACAATAGGTCCCAGCCCAAGCCTCACTGGGTCTTTGTTTGGGTTTCAGTGGCTCACAGTAAATGTAAACAGCAATTGTGTCTGTTTTAGCCAGAAATCCTGAGGGTTTTCCCTTCTCATATTAAGCAAAGCGGTTACACAGATCATAAATGGCAGAGGTAGGATTTGAGCCTACTTCTACCATCTGACTCACAATCCAATATTCTTTTTTTTAATAGTGTTTTATTTTTTCCAATTACATATAAAGACAATTTTAGTATCCATTTAAAAAAACTTTTGAGTTGCAATTTTTTTTCCCTCACTCCATCCCTTCTACCCTCCTTAAAACACTACACAATTTGATATAGGTTATATATGTACAATGATATAAAACATATTTCCATATTATTCATGTTCTGAAAGAAAAAAAACAAAAGAAAAAAACAATGAAAAATAGTACTTTTATTTGCATTCAGACTCCATCATTTTTTCTCTGGCAATCCAATATTCTTTCCATTATACCTGAATGGAGCTTACCTTCTACACGAGGGATACAACATGCACAGAAATAACTACATATGATGTGATTACAAAGTAAGTTAGAGGAGGTAGCATTAAAAGCTGGGGAGAAAGGCTCAGGAAAGGCCTCCTACAGCCTCTGACTCAGAATACCAAAGAACAGCCATAATACCCAATTTATAAATCTCCAATACTGCCCAATCTTTCATTTTCTAAGAACCAGTCCTCCCTCAGGAGGCAGACTCAGTTACCTCGGGGAAGCTGATCAAAATTCTTAAGAGCCAATAGCTAATAAAAATCTGGTACCCTAGAGAAAATGAAAACAAGCAACAAGTTTCAGCCAGATATTAGGTTTGTATAAAAAATAACAGGTAGAACTGGGCCCCCACTGAAACTCCTAGGGAACAGAAAATAAAATCAGAGCTTAAAAGGTCTTAAAAATAAGAGTTTTTTTTAAAAGTTGCTGGCCTTATTCATTCTGTGTTTATCAGATCTTTCTGATGAAATATGAAAATTTTCCTTTTTTTTCTTAAAGATAAATAAGTGCACTAAAAATATGGAATGCTACAGGAATTTGCATGTCATCCTTGTGCAGGGGCCATGCTAATCTTCCTTGTCCAGTTTAAGTACATGTGCTACCAAAGCAAGCACGAAATATGAACATTTTCAAGACAGTAGGAAATAATGGGATTTTGTTATTTCACAGATGAGGGAAATGAGACTCAAGAACCCGAAGCCAAAGACTCAAGCCCAGGTTTTTGACTCCACACTCAGTGCTCTTCAAACAGAACCACATTGGTGTCTTTTTACCCATTCAAAGGATCCTAGATTTGGAAGAGACCTTCGAGGTCATCTAGTCCTACTTCCTCATTTAGAGAGGAGACCCAAGAAGTGAGGGGCTTGCCCAGAGTTACACAGTATGTGGCATGGGAGGCTGTATCTCATACTCTCACCATTGGACTTTCAGATAACCTTTCTAGAACTTTGCTGTCACTTAACCCTGTGTCTGCCATAGTTTCCTCAACTGTAACATAGGGATAATAATAGCACCTACCTCAAGGGGTTGTTATGAGGGTCAAACTGAAATAACATTTGGAAAACACTTAGCACAGAACCTGGAATTTAGTAGGTGCTTAGTAAATGCTTGTTCCTTTCCCTACTAGGAATACAACTAAAAATGAGAAATTGTTTTTATGAGAAGGAGGGGAGAGAGCAGCCAAGTAAAGGTTACCAAAAAAATCCATGGATTACAGGCCATATATCTTACTTATAGTAGAGGCCCTCATACCCTCACTCAAAATCAACTTGGAATTCTAAGAAGTTTATGTGGATTCCAGAACTAAAGGATTGCTGAAGGAGCAGATAAGATAAACAACTGGGAGCCATGTGACAGCAAAGGTGAGGACAGACTACAGACAGCAGACACAAGAACTCAGAAGTCACAGAAATCTGGGGGCACCTACCATGGGGCCAAACAGCCTTACCTCCTACTCTGATGGCCCCAGGATGATATTCATAATGATGGCCCTCAATCAAGGAAAAGTCTATTTTTATGCTCTGTGTTTTAAAGTGAGGGGGCTGAGGTGTTTCAAGGGGCAAGAATTTAAGGGAACATAACTGACATTAAGAAAAAACAGTCATCAATAACAGCAAAACACAAGAAGGAAGCATAGATTTCAAAAAGATTTCTATCGACAAGGGTTTAAATGTTAACAGAATAATTTGATACTTCATGGGCTGAAACCTCAACACAGAAAAACCTGGGAACTGCTCATTCTCTAAGGTTCCGGATAGCCAAGTCCTGAATTTGTTCACAAACTAGCAAAAATTTAACTCATATAGACTTGAGTTTAAAAAAAACCCTTGAATTAGCAAAAGTGTTATCAGAGACTGTATCTCTTTTTAATATATCATGGCTTGAGCTTCAAAAGGAATTAGGAGAGAAACACATTTCCCCAGGGTAAACCTAATTTACCCTTTTAGGAACGCTTTTCACCTAACACATTTGATAATAAGGCAAGACATTAACAAAAGTTTACTGTAAATGCTCTTTATTTAGGGGCCGAGGTTAATTTATTGTCAAGATATTGGTAGTGAATTATTCTGAAGAAAGAAATAATACCCTTATCTGGAAGTCAGATTTCTGGCAACCTCAACCACATAGGAAGTGAGCAAGAGAGGTCTCTGGACTGTTGTCACAAAGGCTGGTCACTAATGTATCAGTACTTTACTGGTACATGGAAACCCACAGGCGATTTTTCAGGAGATGACTTAATTAATTCACAAATCTAACAAATGTGGTTATCTGATTTCTTCTTGTTTCTGGGAGACTGATGCAACAAATCAGAAAGAGAAGACACAGGCATGCTGTCAGGAGAAGTAAGAATTGACAGCAATAGGAAAAAAAACCCAGCAAAATAATTGTACAAGGAGTAGTAATAAGATTAACCTTGAGCTGTGAAGAAAAGTTTTAGTTATATTCAGTATACTTAGTATAAGAAAGCAATGGCTTTTCAAAGGTGTGGTATATGCTTGGGATGGAATACTGCTGTGCTAGAAGAAATAATGAGCTCAGTGATTTTAGAAAAAACATGCAGAGACTTGCATGAAATAACAAAGTGAAACAAGCAGAACCAAGAGAACATTATGTATTGTAACAGCAACATGGTTTTAAGAATGACTTTAATGAATGAGTTATTTTGTCTATTATAAATATCCAAATGAACTATAAAGGACATGTGAAGAAAGTTGTTATCTGCATCCAGAGAAAGAACTGATAAATAGAAGCATGTATAGAATAATTTTACACAGATATACCTATTTGTGTCTAATGGTAGCCATCTCTAGGGTGGCAGGGGGGTGGGAAGGGAAGAAAAAAATTTTTTTTAAATTGACATGATAATTTTACTGTGTATTTGAAAGGAATAGCAAGTTATACGTAGCAGATTTGCAGTTTTATGTATAATCATCTTTTTATTATACTATGTTATGGAAATGCTTGTTTTATTCTATAAATTAAAAATAATATTTCTTTGTTTATGTTATGCTATACAACTTCTTCCAATGTGTTTAGCTCTCCTTGGTCTCATTTCCCCGACTAGGAGTTGTGACCTTTGAAAGGGCAGGAAGGAGGTAGTGGTCAGAGAACCAGGGTTTGAATCCTGCCTCTGACACTTTCTACCTCTGTGACACTGGGCAAGTTTCCTTAATCTCCATGGGATTCAATTCCTTCACTTATAAAACGAAGGTGCTATGAAAGCCTATGAGGTTCCTTCTAACTCTAGATCTGTGATTTCCATTTGCCATGAATTTAATCCCTTTCTGTTTTTTTTATTATTGGAAACATGACAAAAATCATGATTTTGATGAATGGATATTTCCACATGGAAAGGAGAACAGAAAAGGAGGATTGCATATGAAACCTCGAGTATGTGCAGCACACATATGTATGTGTGTGTGAGTACATATATAGAAATACATATTCTTTCCTTTCATACCTCATTCATTACAGTGCTCGACACAACAAGTAACCAATAAATGTTACCTACTCACTGAAAATGAACATACCCTATGTTAGATTAAAACTCCTCATGAATTGAGAAAGTCTAGTTAACAAATACCATCTCTTATTTCAATAATTTTGAGCTGTTGGTTCAAAAAGTGACATATGCTATTGCTATATATACCCCCCCCTTCACTTTTAAACAAATGAAACCATCTTACCAGGTGTGGGCCGCCGCATGAGCAAGGTCAGTGCCATAGGCAAGTTCTTTATAACATGGCAGGTCTCCTGGTAAGACAAGGAGTTGACTGGAACACCATTGATAGAGACAATCTCATCTCCAACACTCAGCTGTACTGTTGCTTCCTAGCACAATTATAACCAGAAGTCACCTTAAATGGCTCTCAGAAACCAATCATTAGAACAAAGAACATGGATGGTACACAGAAGTTAGACAAAGTTATAATGCAACTAAGATTGTCAAACCAGTCAACTAGGTTAACATTTGTAGAAAGTGCTTAGCACACTGTTTGGCTCATAGGAGATGCTGTATCATATCAATGCTCATTCTTTTCTTTTTCCCCTCCCAAGTCAGTCAGTAAGCATTTATTAAGCCCCTCCTATGTCCAAGGCACTGTGCTAACAGCTGGGGGTACAAAAAAAAGGCAAAAGAAAGTCCCTGCCTTCAAGGAGCTCACAATCTAAAAGAGGAGAAAAAAAGGAAACAAAGATGTATAAATAAGCTACATATCAAATAAGTAGGAAATAATTAAGGGAGGATTGGGGAAGGCTTCCTATAGAAAATGGAATTTTAGTCAAGCATGAGGAATAGAATGATAAAGAAATTTGGAAAGATGTTTATGAAATAATGAAAAGCCAAAAACAGAAGAAGAATGGGGTACATCCTGATAATGTAGGTGATTATGGAGCAAAAGTGAGTAAGAATAGAGAGCAAATCCTAGTAGGGACTTAAGAGAGAGTGACTAAAGCTTGCTATAACTCTTTATTCATTAAAATTCATTAATTTGAGTATAAATAGCTATTAAACAATTTTAATTGTTACTTGGTGTGGATGGTCAATGCCATTTCTTTTAAAAACAAACTTGATTTTTTTTTTGTTTTTACGTCATTACATTTTGCAATCTGTCCTTGCCCATTCTTTCATCTCCCAGAGAAATTATTTCTAATAAACATTTAACTTTTAAAAAAGAAAAGAAAAGGGACAGAAGAGGACATAAAAGTCCATTCTGAAGTAGTTGAAGCAATGAGGAACAGGAATAGTTTGAATCAATGAAATCTACAGGAGTCTGTCAGTTTTCTGTTGACAGGTCTCTCAAGAGGAAGGGCAGATTAACAAACTGTTAACAAACTTCACTTTACTCACTCATGTCAATTATTGCCTCTTCTTCACAGTACCACCCCCAGTTTCAAAGAAAAACTTTTAGCAGAGTTGCTTTTTACGAGAGAGAGAGAGAGAGAGAGAGAGAGAGAGAGAGAGAGAGAGAGAGAGAGAGAGAGAGAGAGAGGAGGAAGAATTTGACAGTTGTACATTTTATTCTTCCCGTTTCCTGTTTGACATGCTATGTGGCAGTGTGGCCAGAAGGGGGCAGCAGGAGTAAGGACTAAAATACAGATAATCCATAAAGGAAGTGATCATGAATTATTTTAAAGCCTTCCCCATTAAAATTCAGACTCATAAAATGTTAGCCCTGGGAGAAGCCCTAGAAATCATCCACAGTACCCTCCCTGTCTTTTCCACCCTTTCCCCACCTTTCTTTTTTCAACTCAGGAATTTGAGGCCCAGAGTTCATAGAATTGGAAGACTGATTTAGAGCTGGAAGGGACCTTCAAGAATATTGAGAACAATATTTCATTTTAAAAATGAGGAAACTGAGGCAAAAAGAAGTTGTGACTTGCCCAGTATCCCAAATCCAATAAGTGTTAATGGCAGGATTTGAACCCATGTTTTCCTGACTCTGAGGCCAGTGTTCTACTCAGAACACTTCCCACTGCCCTCATGGGCTCTCTAAATTTATTGTTATTACTGCTTAAAAAATAACTCAGCAAAATATTGAAATATCTTTCCAGGGAAGAATTTTGCACATGGGAAATCTTAACTAATTTTCCTTTTGTGGACATGCCAAAAGTTTTAAATAAAAACATTAGCAATGTAACCCATTTCCAAGGGGAGAAAAGGATTCATTTTATTAATCTAAGATTCTTAGTAGCAGGTTTTTTTAAAAAAAACTTCTCATATTTGCTATCTCCTATCACAAAAACTTGACTGATGACCTTTGAGAAAAATAAATTTAATATGTCTTAAAAAGAAGTATTAGAGTATCATCAGAAGATATGCTTCTTCACATATTTGTAAGCAATTGCAGTAATGGCTATGGGTTAACAGTGATATCCTTATCTAGCCTCAAGTAATTGACCCAACTCCTTGACATAAATGTTGCTTAAAAGACAAACTTGAAGAAATCACAGAAGACTGACTTTTTAAACACATAAGATAGCTGGAGATAGGGGGTGGAGTGAGGGAGAAGTGTTTTTGTTGTTCTTTTTAAAAGAACTTCAAAGTTTAAGAAAAATCTTGTCTTATAACATATATATGTGTATATGTATATATATATACCTGTGTGTGTGTATATACATATATATATACACACACACTCATGTATATGTTTAAATATAGAAGATATGTATGTGTGTGTGTGTGTGTGTGTGTGTGTGTGTGTGTGCACAGAAGCTACATGGTATGTTGACTCTTATATATTTAAACATAAATGTATGTATCTACAAATACATATATTTGTACACACTCCAGCTGTGGGCCTATCCATAAATAACATATCCTTAAAAATGCTATCTTACAAATAGCCATAGCTTTCCTTGCCCAAGAGGAGAAACAATTCACGTTAAATAGTAAAGAATATGGATTTCATTTAACTTTTTCCTCCTTTCATTTCATCTCCTGAGCCCTGTTGGTGGACTGAGGCAGAAGCACTTGGGAACTCTACTCCAGGACTAACCCTTGAATTCCCTTTTCCCAAATCAAAAGAGGATACTTATGCCACCAAATGGACTTGAATCCCTGGGGCTAGAGGATACTGTTTTCCTTGGATAGTTCTTGGATAGCATATTTTTCATTTTGTGAAGATCTGTGTCAATGCCTAAGATTAGCTATGGCTCTTCATAAAGTAATAGAAACACCTCGCAGTTTGTTTGTCCTATTTTCCTATCCTACCCCACCCCACCCCCTTGGGCCTACAGCCAATACCAAGAAATATGGGGGCAGAGGTAAGTCTCAGTGTGGGCTTCTATTCAAATTGACTGACTTTATTAATCAATAACCATTAATTAGGCACCTACTATGTGCCTGGCACTGTGCTAGGCTCTAGGGATACAAGTACAAAGGCTGAAACAATCCCTACTCAGAAGGAGCTTATATTCTATCTAAAATAAAAGGGAAACTGTGGATGAGGATAGAGCCAAGAGTACATTTAAATATTCTGTTTTCCTAATAATTCACACTTTTTTATTCAAGTGAAAAGGGCTAAAATGAACATTTAAGGCATCCTTGAAGGGGAGAGGAGAAGACACAGAGGGCAGCTTAGGAAGAGGGGGGCCAGGCTGCTATTTTACCCTGATGATGAAGCCAACCCATGAGAACTTAGAATAGGTGACTTGCTAATATGTGTAAGCTCATTTAGTGCCAGCAGGTATATCGATCTCTTTACTCTACTCCCTAAGATATTGCTGGGGCCTTTTAGCACTAGGGGGAGATTTATCTGATTCAGGTGATTTCTCTCTCATTACCAACTTTTTGTCCCACACTCAAAAGAAAACAAAATAAGACAAAAAGAAAGTTACCCTCTCAGTAGGCCTTAAGCCTCTTATCACCACTTTTAAGGGAGTGGCCTGGATTTCCAAGTCTAGACCAAAGGATTCATCTTCCATTCGAATTAAATGAACAGTATCCAAGATGCTGGACCTAGAGTTGTCCTCTGTCACAGCCCTCTTGCTTTGTGGGGTTATCCTGGCTACTGGCTTGTGACCAGGACCAGGATCCTCATTCTTCTGTTTGGGGGAACCAGGGCACTCAATGCTCATCAGGCTTTTGACTCTGGTGATGGCTTTGTGCTCCAGTTTTGGTGACTTCTTGGATTCAGTTTGTTCCTTCAGGCCCAAGCTGCCCAGGCTGTCCTCAGAGGCATTAGGATTGTCAGAATGCTTTCCTGGAAGCAAAGGTGAGTCTATGATTTGCTCAGAAATCTTCTCCTCCACCTTCCCTCCTGAGCTGCTCAGAGGTGAAGTCTCCAAAGGGGTCTCACTGGCAGGATTCCCAAGGTGCTCTACTTCCCGGATGCTAATATCAGCTGCTACAGACGATAAATGGGTGATCACCCTAGAGTCCTCTTCAGCCTGTGATGAAGTAAAGGCTGGGAGGGACCTGGAAAATGGAACGTCGTGTCCATCTCTCACAAACTCCTCTTCATCACTGGCATCTTCAGCATCAAAGCAGCCAATTCTCCTCTGTCGGAGGAGTGGGCTTCGGGCAGACTGTGGGCTTCCAGGGAGGCTGGCTTGCCTAGTAGCTTCCAAATGCTTATGGAAAGGTCCTGAGGCCTTCTTGCTTCCAGATGATACAAGGCTGTTGGCCCTAGCTTTTCCTGATTCTTTGGGAGCTGGGAAAGAATGAAATCAAATGGAACATTAGTCTCCCTTCTAGACCGGGTTTACGCCATCATTATCAACATTATACAATGACTTTAGTATTTCTGTGTGCTCAGAGTGCCTGGTGTATATGATATATTCAGAGGTAACTCCCATATGCAATCCAAGTAGCCTTTCCACTGGTCTGTTGATGGAAATCTTCTAACAGTAATAATCATAGGAGATAACATGTGAAGTGGAAAGAGCAACCAACTTGGAATAACAGACCCTGTGTTATGATCCTAGTTCTGTTAGTACTTGTGTGACCTGAAATGATGCACTTAACCTTATTCCAGGCCTCAGTTACCTCATTTGCAAAATGAAAGGTTGGATTCAGTGGCCTCTAAGTTTCCTTCTAGCTCTAAATCCAGGACCCTAGGGATTAAATGTTTAGATAGCATTTTAAAGGGTGAAGTGCTTTTCATAAATCAGCTTATTCAACCTTACAACAATTTTGTGAGCTGGGTACCAAAAATATCATTTTTCCCTATTTTACAGATGAAAAAACTGAGGGGGTGAGAATCTAAGTGGCTTGTCTGAAGTAGAAAGAGCTAGTAAGTGTCAGAGGCAGGGTTTGAATCTAAGTTATTGTTGTTGTTGTTGTTTTTTGGTAGGATGAGGCAGTTGGGGTTAAGTGACTTGCCTAGGGTCACATAGCTAGTAAGGGTCAAGCGTCAGAGGCCAGATTTGAACTGAGGTCCTCCTGACTCCAAGGCTGGAATTCTATCTACTGTTCCTCCTAGATGCCTCTTAAATTTTCTTTACTCCAAGTCCAGCACACTAAGTGCTATAGTCTGGTTTCCTCACTTAAGGATAGCAGACCTTAAAGGAGATAGGAAATAGCCTATTAATTTTTCTTTGTCTTCCTCTTGAAGTAGTCTCATTCTTTACCCATCTCTTGGATGTTCTGGCTATTTTCAACATCTCTCTTCTGGAGAGTAAGAGTACATATACTACATCCTCTATAATGGGTGGTACATTGTGGGCATAAAATAGAATTACCACAGTGGGGAATTTCTTGTAATGGGGAAAATTGTTCCTCCTGCCCTGGCTTGATATAATGAAAAGATTGGTATAGATGAGATTGTTGATCTTATCCATTTATTGTACAAATAGGTGACTGGTCATTAGTAGTAGTAATATTAGTAATAATTATAACCAAAGAGAATATTATTAAGAAATTATTATTAACAATGATGAAATGATTATTATAGATACAATTACAAATTTCATCCACTCATTGTACAAATAGGTGACTGGCCATTAGTACTAGTAATAATAATAACCAAAGGGAATATTGTTAAGAAATTTACTAACAATAATGAAAAGATTATAGATATGATTACCAGCCTTATCCATTTATTGTACAAATAGGGGCAGACCATTAATAACAACAACAACAATAGCTCGCATTTATATAGCACTTTAAAGTTTACAAAGTGCTTAACATATATTAGCTCATTTGATCCTCACTACAACCGTATGATGCACGTGCTAGTATTTCCATTTTGCATCATGAAACCAAGCTTGAGAGAGTTTAAGTGATTTCCTAATAGCAACTAATACTAAATTCCCTGTTTGGCTGTAGTGGAAATGTGTAACAACTTTTTCAGATGAATTTTTCCTGTTCTAACACCATTAGAATCCGAGTTAGTGAAGCATGAGTAACCACTTTCCCATCAGTTTGCTCCCAGAATAGGTCCTCCCACACCAGTAACTATGTGAGAGCAGTAGACTGTGAGGACAGAGGCTCCTGGCTATTCATGGCACCTCAAGCTTACTTGGGCTGCTGGGAGGAAGAGCACCATCATCCAAAGAGTTGCTCCCCCTCCTCTGGTGCATATGCTCCTCATCTCCAGAACTGGCAACCACAGAGTCTGAATAAGACAAGGGGCTCAGGACATCTTGTGAAAAATATTGTGAGAGTTCTGATTCAGAACTGAGGGAGCCCTGCTGAGGAAAGAATATGTTAGATGGCTGGGGATGGTGGGGGAGGGAGAGCAAGGTTTATTTATACAGCCATAGAACACACACAGATCCTTTGGCACATTGAGAGCTCCAAAGCAATTATTTTTGTTTTTTCCTGGAATCATATTATTCTAATCGAAATTCTCTCAGTCATTTGAGATAACTGGAATACTAAACAGCCACATCAGTATACTTTAGAATTATTTTTAAAAAATCAATAAATACAGCATAGCAACAACTGCCAGCCAAGGGTTTGGGGGGTCCTTTTTCTTCTGGGCCAGTGGAGGCTGAAAAGTTATTCTCTCTTTGAGTCATTTTAAAAAAAAAAGGTTTTCATTATAGAAAGCCTTTACTTTCTGGATTTCACCTTCCAAAACCCTCATTCTTCAGGGCATATCAACATTCTTCAGAATCACAGGGGGGGAAATTACAGAGAAAAACTTAAGATTAACTGGCCCAACCCAAAAGTTAGCAGAGAACAGGAGAATTCAAACAGGCATCAATCCATTTAGACTTTAAGGATGAGATTGGGAGAAATTCTGCGGCCTACCCAATATGCATATGTCCCCAAGAAGTTATCAAGCACTAGTCTGCTTCTTCCACTGTTCTAAAAACCCAAGCCATTAGACCATAGGAGACAAAGACAATGGCATTTAGAAGTGATAATAAAATGACTGCCCCATGCAATCTGAAAGTACTAAATGAAGATTTCGTTTTGAACATGGGAAGTATTATCTAGCTCACTTTTCCCCAAAGTTTCATTCTAATCTCTACTTTATCCTTCTTTCCAAGCTCAGAGGGACCATATATCCCCAAGTATCACAATCCTGCTACTTCAGCCCCACCATCTTCAGGCTATTTTCATGACCTGTCCAGATTCCTTTCCTGGAGGAACTTCCATGGCTCTGCCAGTTAGGGACAGACTTTAAGGGAAGGCATCAAGTACAATAAGACAGCAACCCTTCTCCTGCTTCTGCTAGCAGGGTGGGTCAGGCTTTCAACGTGGCCTGTTTTTTAAATTTCAAGATAATCTTATTAGGTTTTCTCTATTTATACCCCAAGTGCAATTTTTCTCTATGATTTCCCTGGATAGATAGTTAATACGAAAACCACTCCTTTTCATCTTGCTTGTCAAAGTAACCCTATACAAAAGTCCTTGTCTGGTGGGTTCTTGTGGTTATGCCTACGGAACTCAATCTCTGGCAGGCTGCACTATTTCAGAACGGTTTCAGGTACAATAGTATAACATACCGGGTCAGTGCTCTGAGGACCTGCTTAGCTAAATATGTAGGGATTCATCACCAAATCACCAGGAGGCTGGAACTTGGTGAATTCTTTTTGTGATGACAACCCATGAGACAGAGGAAAATACCAAAGAGTCCTCAGTCTTGGGAGTCCGTCATGGTGGGAGAGTGTTGGAAAAGGAGGCTGAGGAGGGTAAGAACAGAACAGTTGGTACTCTAAATATGAGATCCTTGTCTATCATGCAGCCGGAGAACTGAATCCTATCAATCTTGATATTCTTCTTCACTATAAATAAGATCAGAAGGAATCCTCTCCTGATTCAACTGCCTTCCCTCTGTTGATTATTTCCTTCTTATCCTGTATATGGCATATCTGTACATAGTTGTTTGTATGTTATCTTCTCCAGTAGAGTGAGACCTTCTTAAGAGCAGGAACTGTCTTTTGCATTTCTGTGTATCAAAAGTGTTTATAACATAGTGCATGGCACTTTGTAGGCACTTAATAAATGATTATTGCCTGACATAAAAGATCAAAAGAGACATAAGACCATAACAGGAGGTGGGCCAGTCACATAGGGTTAGCAAGGGAGCCTCAACGCACAGCTGCTATGCTACAGGGTTAACTCACGTGATGCCAAGTGACCCAAAGGAAGCCCCCAGTGTCTTGTGTGAATGACTGTGGAGGATTTGTGGGAGAGCACAGAAAGGCATAAAATATGAAAAAGGGGTGGACGGGGTAAAATCTGCCCAAGTAAAAGGCATACTTACATCAATGAGATCAAAGATCCATTGAAGAGTTGATATATTTAACATTAGCCTTAATATTCTATTCCATCTAATAGCACCAAGTGGGAGGGCTCCAGGAGACCACAGATCCTCAGATTTGGAAGTAACTTAGCCCATATAGGAAGCCAGAATTCCCTCTACAATATCCCTGGCAAGTGGTCATCCAGTCTTTATTGGAAAACCTTAAGAGATGGGGAACTTACCTGCCATCCAGATCAGCTCTAACAGTTCAGTTTTCCTTCATCAGAAGTAGAAATCTTCTATGTAATTCTCTCCCTCCCCTCAGCCACCACACTATGCCTAGTTCTCTGAGGGCCAAGCAAAATAAAGCCAACCTCTTTCTCACATCACAACCCTTGAAACATGTAAAGAAACCTATGGTGTGCTTTATAAGTCTTCTTTTCTCCAGGATAAACATTCCCAGTTCCTTCAGTTGGTCTCTTAATTGCATGCTTCTAAAGTCTCTCATCATCTTGGATGCCATCTTTTGTATGCATTCCAGCACGTCAATGTCCTTCCTGAAGATATGGTACCCAGAATTCAGTAAGACACACTAGTTTCAATGTGACCAAGCCACACATAAGAGGATTATGAGCTCTCTCCTTCTCGACATTAAGCTTCTGGTGATGCAGGCTAGGATGATGGCATGTTTGGCTGACACATCCCCATTGACTCATGGTCCAATTTCAGTCCTTTCATACTTTGAGGACCTTTTCACATTGAATGAGATAGATGAAGTTTCCTCAGTACTAAAACTCATAAATTCCCTTTGTATCCCCAAAGCAGTAAAACTTGAGGAATTTGCAAACATTTGCTGTGCATTAAGCAAGAGCTGAACTGTGTTCTAATTCCTCTAGCAAGATAGGCATTTCCAAAAGACTGCTAGCTTAACAGCCAAGGGCTTCCTGCTTATCTGTCTCCAGGCAGAACTTTTAAATAGTTATCAAAAGTCTTCCCAATCCTTTGTCTCTGAGTAGAACTTCTAAATGGTTGTCAAAAGTCGTCCCAATTCTTTGTCTCTAAGCAAATATTTCCAAACAAGGATATCATTGTACTAAGGGTCTTAGAAAGCCAGTTTAGATTGTGCACCCTGAAACCTAGCCAATGGGAAGAAGGGTTCAGGAATGGGAAGGGGGTATTGCGTTAGGACTGTAAAACTTTGTTCCCCACTGACTTTGCACTCCCTAGCTGCTGCTGCCTGAGGGACAAGGGCTGTGCCCTTTCTCATGAGAAAGAATAAAACCTTTTCTGATCTCTGACTCAGCCTCCCAACTTTTAATTCTAGTGCAGCCATTGTCCCACACAACATGACATACCCTAGAGTCCCCATCTCACCTATCCTGTACCTGCCCAGTAAAGATTTTCTCAACACAAGTGCAGTTCATTACATTTCCTCCTACTATCCTCTGTCTCACCAGGCTTTACCTAATTGCCACAGCCTGTCGAGATCTTTTTTGGATCCTTATTCAACCCTCTACTATATGCTTTCGTCTCGGCTTTATATCATCTATAAATCATGTAAGCATGCCATCTCTGTCGTCATCTCTCTAACCCCCGGGCAGAACCAACAGATGTTGATTTGGGCTGAACCCCTTTACCCGACTTGCTGGCTCCAGGAAGCGTTTCATGGTCCAGCTGAGTGAGGCGGCACCTTCTCCCTGTCTTGCCTTCGCTGAAAGGGAGGGACTCTTCAGGGGGGTACCTGTGAGGACAAGGAGTCACCATGCAGTCAAAAACAACTAGGCATATTGGCCCAGGGAGCTCACAACCTAAGCTACAGATGGCAGGCATGTGACTACAAGGAATAAGTTCCTCTCCCTGTAGAGTTCTCACTGATATGCATAGGCATGTCCTTCTATGCAATCTGTGTGGAATGGCCACTCTGCCCATTTTGGTCTGTTAAATACTACGGCTGTTTAGAACCCAGCTAAATCGCAGTCTTCTTTATGAAGCATTCTCTGATCACCCACCTTTGCAATGGCCAACCTCTCCCAACATCTGTAGCATTCGTTAGTCATATGATATATCAGTTATGCTTTTGAATACATATTTTTTTCTTTTTAACAGGTCTTTATTGATGTCTTTTGTGTACATAGCTCTTAGATTTTTCCCCTTACCCCTCTACCCCTCCAATATAGGAATTTGAAAAGAAAAAGAGAATAAAATCAACAAAATTGATCAATATAAAAAAAAACTGACCTTATGCGCAATGTTCCATACCCCGGGACCCTCCCCATCAACTACTGTAAAGGAGCAGTAAGTGGGGACTTTCTGAACACATTTCTGTTGTCCCTTATTAGACTGCAAACTCCCTGAGGGCAGAGAATATGTTTCATGCATGTTTGTTCCCACCTTTCTCCAGCATCTAGTACAGTGCTTTGCATGTGGTACCTTAATCAATGTTGGTTGGCTGAATGCATGAATATCACCTAAGCAGACCATGAAAATCAGGAATTTCTATGCACTGGAGATATCTACAGTTTGGGATTAACCAAGACGGGAAGAACCAAGATTTCACACTAAGGCTGCAGGGGATATGTCAAGAACAGCACCCAAATCTTAAGCAGCATGACAATAAAATTCTTTATAAATACTGAAGATTTATTTATTTATGATATCTACTTATAAATCATAAATTAAATTTTATATAACTTTACTAAATTTATTTTGCTAAATTTATATATTTAAACCAATTAACAATTTATAGATTTAATATTAATAAATTTATTAATTTTATTATTTAAATTTACTATTAAATTATATTATATTTATTAAATTTTACATGAAGATTGTTACAGTGTGGGCTAAGACAGGTCTGAGCAATGCACTGGGCTAGTCAACGCTATGTCTCTATTGTTAAGAAATTAATCCTGGTTATACCAGGGATTTTATGGTACCTAAAAGTTTCTAGGTCTCTTCTTTCTTTTTATTAAATATTATTTTGTTTCTTTCCCCAATTATATGTAAATATGGTCTCTTCTTTTCTTCACAAACTTATCACTTCTCAAGTGCTGTTGCCTTATACAAATCAACAGAATGTTTAGCTCTGAAGTCCTATAAGTTGCCCCATTAGCCTGCAAAACACTTTTGTTATAAAACTCAAGGTCTGATTTCACATCTTTTATACTAGATCCTCAGTCTCCATCCCTTCGTCTGTAAAGTGGAGATCATGTGATTAGCTATCACAGCTCACTGGGATTTAAAAGTGTTGATAAATTTGAGGCATTTCCAGGCCTACACAGGAGAAGTACATTGTAGGCACTGAAGAACAATCACTTCCACATCTGTTTATATCTACCTGTCCATTTCAAATGTACCATGTATAAAATGGCTAAAAGACTCATTTATGGAAAATGTTACTGAGAACAAGATACTAGAATCTCTTTATGTGATTACTTTTAAACTGAGACATACCAGCCATCACTTCAAAATTCATAAGTGGCTGTCCAAGAGAATGCTCCTACCTTTTAAAAACTTACTTTCCCTAGTTTAGATAATAGCAAAGACTCTGACAGTGGAGCAGTGAGTTCTGACTGTCCCACAGGAGAAATGATCAGCAACGTTCTCAATGTCAGAGGTGAATGTGCAGCTGCCATACCTAAGACATGAGAGGAACTGGCCTCTTTGCTCTCCCGGTGAGTGGAACGAGCTATTGCTTCATCCATCTCCTGTTCAGAAACCTGAATTGGGGCAGAAAGTAGAAATTAGGGGGGTTTTTTGCTCAACACAAGATGCCAAGATCAGAGAATAAACAATGGCTCTGTAGGATAGAGCAAATCCATGGCAGAGTCAAACTTCACCATCATTCTTTGTCTTAGTAACTTAGTGACACATGAGAAGTAAATAGATAAAGACAGATTAACAGATGGCTTCACAAGATCCCTCCTTGGGAATTCTAGTTACTATCCTGCTGACCTGCCACGGAATGAACTTGGTATCTGACTCCAACTGTTAAGATCTCCCTTCAGTGGCTCTCTCTTCATTTTCTTAGCTGCTTCTGCCCACAGACTCAGGGTTACTCAAGCCCTGGCATTAGTTCCTGTCCTAAGGGACTGGATTTAGGAAGACTCTGGCTATATGAGCATCTTCCTCTGTCATTAGGTTCCCTCTAAAGCAGGTGCCTTGGTAAACTTCCTTTTTGTCTTTTCTGGACCTCAAACTTACTGCCTGCTCTCCTGCTTGGTGCCTCCATAGTACCTGGCTTTTCTGTTCTTCCTGGCTCCTCCCCATGATGATATTGCCCTGCTACTACCCATAGTTTTATTTAGTCCTGTCTGTAAACGTGTCCTTGTGCCCTGGAAAGCCCATAACATTTGACATTGATTTCCCATTTGGAATGTGGAATGGACTCCCTTTGCCTGAGCCAACATGACATTAAAGGACGTGAAAGCTCTTGTCTACTATTTGTGGGTCATCACTAATCTAGGAATTTTTTATTGTCATGTTAAGATTGAAAGTCAGTACTGACTTATTTGTGTGTGTATACAGAGGAGAGAGACGGGGAGGGAGACGGAAAAAGGGAGAAGTGGGGGGAGAGAGAGAGAGAGAGAGAGAGAGAGAGAGAGAGAGAGAGAGAGAGAGAGAGAGAGAGAGAGAGAGAGAGAGAGAGAGAATGAAAACGAAAAAGGAAGGAAGAGGGAGAGAAAGAAGGAAAGAAAGCAAGGGGAGTGACAGAGAGATGGAAGGCATCTATTCCCTGATGAAGAGACTGAGGCCCACAAGGGTTGAGCGACTTGCCCAAGGTCACAGAAATAGTCACATAGAAGAGTCAGGATTCAAACTCAGGCAGGGCGTGGCTCTGGAGTCAAAACACTTAGATTCAAATCCGGCCCCTGAAGCTTAATACTTGGTGACCCTGGGCTCAGAGTCACTCATCTTCCTCAGGCTTTGGTTTCCTTAAAGTAAAATGGGGAGGTTGGGGGTCTGTGCTGATGATACCTGTCTCCTCTGGATCCAAATCCAGCACTCTTGCTACTGTACCACATTTCCTCTCAGTTGCTGACATGGAAGTATGGTCCATAGTGGAGCGGGTCAATCTGCATTTCTTTGTATGCTCAATCAGTTTTAGTTCTGCTGCTATATGCTACCTCCAGGAGCCACCACAGAGAGAAAAACAAGGTTTTTTTCCCCCCATATGCTATTTCAGCAGCTGATGATGGGAGACAAACACCTACCCCACCCTACCCCCACTCACCCCTAACTGTATTGGTTATGATCTGCCGAGCTTTGGAGGGCTCATCAGTAGCACTGGACTGAGGGTCAGGAAGACTTGGGTTCTACTCCTGCCATGGGCAGGTCACTTTAACTCTTTGAGACTTGTTTTCTTTATCTGTAAAGTGGTGGTTGCCTACAGTACTGACCTCACAGGGTTGTTTTGTATGTAAAGAGTAGTCTGACTTACATCCCAGAAAAAATTCTCTCTACAGGACACCTCACAAGTAGTTATATTTATAACTTTTGCTTAAAAGTCTCCAATGAGGGGAAACCCAGTGCCAGTTGTAAGCAGTCTATTCCATCTGGGGATACCTTTAATCCTGAGGAAGTTTTCCTTTAAACTGAATTTAAATTACTCTTTTCTACATGTCTACTTCATGGTTTCTAACTCTTTTCTTCTTTGGGGCGAAGCAGAATAAGTGTGATCCCTCTTCTAGAGGAGAGATCTTCAAACATTTGAAGGCAGGTATGTCTAAATATCCCCAGTTCCTTCAGCTGACAGTCATTATGGCAGGACCTAAAGGTCCTTCATCTTCTTTTATATTTCTTATAGATGTAAGGTTATAATTATGTAATATAATAATAAATATAATAAATAATAAATATAATCAAAATGTAATAATGCCTTCAGATCAAGGATTATTTCATTGTTAATTGTTTTTTGCCTTTATCTCTTCAGCACTTAGAAGACTGTCTGGCACATAGCAGGTACTTAATCAATACCTGCTCACTGATTGGCTCTGGTTGCCCTCTTCTGGACACCCTGTGGGTTCCCAATGTCCTTAAAATGTGGCACACAGACATGAATACAATACTGTTTAACTGGGACAAAATATGGGAGTATACAATTAGCTCATTATTCCTTGAATATTTTCTTCTTTCCATGGAAACTAAAATGAATTATCTTTAGAAGACTAATTTTTAGTAAGTTCCAATTCGGGACAATTTTTTTCATGCTTATTGTGATGATTTACATACTTAAATATTCAGTGCTTGAACTTTTAGAAAGTTCTCATGAAACTGATTTTTGAATACAAAAGCAGAGGGGATGTGGTTTTACTTTAATATAGCTTTTTCAAGTGCCCACATAATATATGTAAAGATAAAAGTGATACTTTGGAGAAAAATCCAAGGATGGGCTTTAATCTTTAAATATATGGATTTAAATAGAATTAGGTATGAAGTTTGACTGCTGAAGAAAAAGTTATACTCGTGTCTTGACTTTTACATAATATATTTCAAATATTCTTATTCAAATTGACAGAAAGCACTTGTGAAGGTATTTTCTAAAAAGTAACTTCCTTAAGTATACAACCCTAAGTGAAGGCAAAATCTAATTTTAAATGAAAGAGCCAGGAAAAACATTAGCCTTAGAAACACTGGCTGGTTTTCTCCTCGATTTGGTTTTACCATGATTCCAGACTTTCAACATTTGCAAATTTAAGAGTTATTTCTTTGAGATGAAAAATAGAAAAAATAATAACGCTCTTGACTTTTTTAAACATATGAACTACTTCTTGTAGAGTTCTAAACAAGCCGAGAGACCCACCCACTTGCCCTTCATTCCAGCACACTTTAGAAGTACTGCCTATTTCACTTCACATAAGATAGAAGTAGCACCAGAAACAGGTCCAGCACCTCAGCCACTCTGCCCTCAGACAATTTGACTAATCCCAGAATGCAACTCAGCAACCATTATGAGTAACAGAAGAAAAGAAAATCACTGTGGTGTTTGTCTTGGAAAACCATGAAAACTATTGAGATCCAAATGTTCAGTAACAGAATGTACTATTGCCCTGAAAGCTGGGGCAACATGAAAACATATTATACAAAAAAAATGGGACTTTGACCATGATAAAAATCCAGGATAGCGTTACAGCTAAGAGCGTCATATTGACTTCCAAAGGAGATGAAGCCGATGAAAATAATTCATTTTCCTGAGACATACTCTGAGTTTTTCTAAGATATCTGTAGATGACTTGTAGTGAAGTATCCCAGCACCACCCACCATGAGAAATTGTTACGTTGGAACTAGAAATATGAACTAGCATGCATTTGTTAGTGGGCAACAGACCTTACCTGGCTTGGTCAAGGTCATTCTAAGGACTGAAAAGCCCTTTAGCGGTTTCATGTACTGGCAAACTCCATTGTTCTAAGATGAGCTGAGTTTCAGAATTGGTCATGGTTCAGTGTTCTCCTGGAAAGGACTGTGAAGTCCAAACCACAAGGAAGAGTTGCTGGTTGCAAACACCACTAAGAACTTTAATTATTTGCTGAAGAGTATAATAGGGGAGTCATCTCCTTGGTGGGGGGCAGGTAGATGGTACAATGGATAGAGTGCTGAACCTGGAGTTAGGAAGACACACTCATCTTCCTGAGTTCAAATCCAGCCTCTGCTACCTGTAATCTGTGTGACCTTGAGAATCACTTAACCATGATTGCCTCAGTTTCCTCATCTATAAACTGAGCTGAAGAAGGAAATGGCAAAGCACTCCAGTATCCTTTACCAAGAAAACCCAAATGGGGTCACGAAGAGTCAGACATGACTGAGAAATGAGAAAAACAACAAAATTTTGGTCAGGAAAAAGAAAGTATGTTTCTAAAGGGTGATGGTAGCTAAGTGGCTGGTTAGGGCTTGCTTGATGGCTGAGGCCCTTGAAAAAGATCAAAGCCATTTCATCAAATATCTGAGCAATGAGGCTGAGCAATATCAAAACTGTTAATCAGGAAGAGAAACAGAGGCAAGAGGAGAATAGATTGATCAAAGAGCAGAAGAGTCAGATGAGAAAGGTAAGATTCTTCAGCATGATGATTACCAAGAGAAAAAAATAGCTAGTATATACGTAATGCTTCCAAGGTCTCTAGATATTATTATAGATATTATCTCACTTAATGCTTACAACTTTGAGAAGTAGGCACTATTATTCTCCCTGTATTACAGAAGACACTGTAATTTTACAGATGAAACTTGCCCAGGGTCACACAACTAACAAGTGTCAGAAGCTGGATTTGTACTAAGTCTTCCTGACTCTAGATCTAGCTCCCTACCCTCTGTACCCCCTGGGCGTCAAGAGGACAAAAGTGCAAAAGATTGATTAATAGAAAGACAAACAAGCTAGAAGGGAATTAAGGAAGATACCTAGAGAAGGACCCCGGATCTCCTATTTCATACCATATTTTTGTCTTCCTATCTAGAAATCTGCTATCCAGCAAGCTGATGTAACCAGAATCTATGCGAGAACTAGAAGGAAGCAAAAAAAACCACCTGTGAGAATCCAAAAGCAGTGCCAGAAGCTTCATGTACTTTATGTCAAGGACCATCTTTCTGACCTTTGCTCAAACCCTACTTAGTCTGGCATCTACACCCAGTTTAATCAATCTTAGACATCTGATTTCTCAACCCATAGAAGATCAGCACATCAAACTGGATAGATCCTAAGATTTATAATTAGAAAATTCTGGGGCAGCTGGGTGGCTCAGTGGATAGAGCCCTGGCCCTGAAGTCAGGAGGACCTGAGTTGAAATCTGGCTTCAGACCAAACACTTGACAGTTACTAGCTGTGTGACCCTGGGCAAGTCACTTAACCCCAATTGCCTAAAAACAAACCCAAAAGACAAAACAACAAAAAAACAACCAAGAATTAGAAAATTCTAAAACTTAAGAAAGGTCATTTGGTCCTAACCCTCAGGAAACTGAGGCTCAGAGAGGTTGAGTGATTTGATTAATGACACGCAAGTAGTAGGTGCCAGAGTCATGATTTGAATCCAGATTCTCTGTCTCCAAATCCATTATTCTCTGAAGCCAGGCAGGGAGGAGGGTTGGGAGGGTATGGCAGAGCTGCCCAAGACACTGTTGAAAGATGTGAAAGCCAATAATCAGAGAACAGAAATGATTAAGGCATGGATGGGCTGCTATTTGTATGGTTCATAAGTTCATAACATTGTTAAAAAATGGTGGACATTTTCCCTGTAACACATTGCTTGCACATTAGATTTCCCTTCTATTGGAAACATGATAATAGGATTGACAATAAACTCTCACCTCCTTTTCACAGTGGAAAGGGCAGTGGATTCGAAGGTAAAATAGTCAAAACCTTCTTCCTTCAAATGACTAGGTCTGTGAACCTGGCAAGTCACTGTAGCTCTTTGGGCCTCAGTTTCCTTGTTTGCAAAATGAAAGGGTTTCCTCCAATGTGATAAGTCCTATGACCCAGTGTTTTCTTTATCTTCCTCTAGCCTTGTGCAACCTCCTCCTCTTCTTGCCCTTCTCCCTGCCTCCCCCACATGCCTGAATCTCTCCTCACGTCTCGGTACCAGTATCACTTGAGACAAGTGCTCTGTGTGATAAGGTTCTCAGGCTAAGCCCAGAGACCCCCACCATGGGAGGGGAGGAGAGTGGGGAAAATACCCCCAGAGCCTGCTCCAAATTATAGCCTGATAAGTTCACAATTGTCTAATCATTTAAATGTTTATTCAATTAGAAAATCATTATTGATCCCTAGTACATTATACTTCCTATCACCATGCAGATAGGCAGTGAAAAAATTTTGATGTTGAAGGATCTGGGTTCAAATCCTATCTCTGCCATGGGAAATCACTTTCGGAAATCATTCTTTGGGCCTTAATTTCCATATCTGTAAAATGAAGGGACTGGACCAAATAATATTAGCTAGCATTTATACAGTGCCTTAAACTTTGTAAAGTGCTTTGCATTTCTATCCTTAAAATTATTTTATCCTCAAAATGGCCCTGAGAGGTAGGTGTTAATGACCTCAAAGATCCTGGACTTCTGGCTGTAGGATCTTGAAGTTATTATATCTGTAGAGCTTTTCCTCTTTCCCTTGGAGATGTACCTAATAAATAAATAAGGGAGCTTTTCACCTTTCCCATGGAGGTGTCCCCAGTAAATAAATAAGCATCCCTTGAGGCTCTGAATCTATGCTCATAGGATCTTGAAACATCAACAGTTTCTTCCATTTTCCGAGGAGATGTCCTCAATAAACAACTTAAAAAGAACCCTATTCTTAAGATGGGCATGTAGGGGTATACTGAAAAGTCTATGGAGAAGAATGTAAATCTAACCTTCATATTTTATGGTCTTTAGAATTTTAATACAGCATTATGATGCTTAGTTACATCCAGTGATACTTCTCTGTTGATTAGCAGAACAGTTTCCAATATAAATTTTAAAAACTAAACACAAGAATTTCTTCAATCATACAGGAAAGAAGCTGCCCCATATTATTCCACTATAACACTTCACCAGAACTACTTTTTAAATGATCTTAAAAACAAGCATCTCTATATAGTTTATCTGAAAGGCCCAGTTTTATTTATTGCATTCATAATTTAGAGGAAGTAAGACCCACAATCCAAGGGACTTGAAGTCCAGAGTTTAGTTGCATGCAAAACTTAACCTTTTTTTTTTCTATTGGCAGAGATATACTTTCCTCAAAAGAGGAACTAATCATTTCCTGGAAACACTCTTAAGTCTTCAACAGAAAAGTGAAGTTCTCCTTGGGAGAAGGACACTTTTCTCTTCAAACTCAGAGATTTCTCTTTCTGATAGAAGAGTTTTATGAATTTAGTCCTAGAGTACTAGAGAAATGCCCAGACAGAAATATAAAAATGCTCAACAGTTCACTGGTTCAAGTATATCCCTTTAATTCCAGGAACCTAGAGTAAATTCCAAACAGTGGGCACAAATCTTATGAAAAAAGTACTCTAGTTATAGCTCTTATTTCAATGACCAATTATTTATGCCTCCCCTCACAGGATCATTGCTTGTCATCAGTTACCACTTATTTGATCCTGAAAAAATTCTTATTCAAGATAAGGACTGGAACTGTGGAAAGGGGAACGTTTTGTGAGGAAACTCCTTCTACCAATGCAGGCCCACACCTTCTCTATGGTCAGAGTGTTGTGTAGAGGTGTCCAAAAGATTAAGTGACTTGCTCGGGGTCATAGAGCCATTATGTGTGACAGGAAGGACTACACCTTAGGTCATACCGGATTTAGGGCAGGTCGGCTGTCTACTATACAGGACTTGCCTGCTGCCTCTCATTAGTAACTACAACAACAATACTATAATCATAATACTTCTTTCTGGAAAAATAGAGTTTGAAATAGAAAGTTGGAAAGTTTCTGTAACCTTTTGAAAATATTTTTTATTTACTGCTCAGCATAATTTAGTACATTTGGCCTAAATGAAAAAAATCTGGCAAATTGCTATGAAGATGTGGCTCTTTCCCAAGATGGCGGCAGTAATTCTACAATTATAAACAACACTGCCAAAACACTGTATGTTAAAAAACAAAAGGTTCGATGGCCATCAATCTTCCTCTACTTCCCCTCTACCACATAGAGCATTGATAAGACCAAGGTTTAGGACCTACCTCTGAACAGCCTAGTTAGGTTTGTTCTGTCTTGTATCTGAAAATAAACTAGTCCTGATCAGGTCTACCTGACCCACAGACTTGGTGTTTGGATACTCTTATTAACTTTGGAAATACTCTCTTCCTTCCTCCTCTTTTAGAAGTAGCAGTTGGGTTTGGGGTTTTGTACTCTTTCCCCACACTCTGGCGTGAAACAAAAGGTAACTGTTCCATGTACACAGAATATTTAACAAAATTCTGTCGGTCAATTGGACATGGCAAGTTCATTCCTGCTCCTGGCTAAGTAAGCCCAAGCATATGCCTTTTTGTTAGGAAATCCATAATGTACCGTCTTTAAACACAGGGGCAGCATTCCATACTTCACCTTTGGGTTTGGGTGCCGACTAATAATCAGGCTAACCGGTCCTGGGCCACACTCACTCAGGATGGCATAAGCTTCGCTTAATGCAGCATGGCGGAGGCTGACAGAATCTGCTTCCAGGATTTGGTCACCACGGCTAAGGAGGCAAACATAATCAGCATTTCAGTACTTGGCTTCTTGCAAGAGATTTCTTGGGGAAGGGAGAATATTATCTCTTAGTGTCTCTTCTCAGTGACTCCCCTTCCTCTTGCAATTAAACATTCCACTGAAACAAAAATAATTCAGCAAAATGAAACCACAGATTGTTAACACCTAATGTCCACCAACTTTCAGTTGAGGGCCTAGAGGCATGCTTCAGAAATAATGTCCAAAGACAAATTTCTCACCAAAATTTTATGTTGAAAAATGGCACCACTTCCTCTACTGCATACTAATACCACAGCAGATCATTTATAAAATCAACTCAATACAAATTAGACCAGATGTTGGCATAGGGCACTGCCTATCCACTCTGATGTTTTTAGAAGAAGCATAGACAAAATAATTTTTGCCACTGGTTTCATTATTCCTGACATCTTGAAACGATTAATGCAACATAACTTACAGGAAAAAAGCTCACAAAAGCCTGCTGAAGAATTTACAAAACCATTTCAAACATAAGCTAATGAGAAATTGGGGAGGAGCTGCCTATTTTCCTTTTAAATTAGGGACAGGGAAGTCAGCTTTATAAAACAAAGACTCTGTTGTTTAAGGATTTAAGTATGTTCACTTGGTGGGCTCCAGACATATGGAAGCATTCAACAAAAGAATCATCATTTTAGGATGTCATGAAAGAAAACATATATACTTCTAGTAATCAAGAAAAACATCTTCTAATGTGCTTTTGCACAGTTTGTTTATTCTTTTTTATATGAATATTCACAGTGAAAATCAATAATAATATGCTACAATAGATTGATAGAAACCAAAAAGTCAAATGCAGGTAATACTATTCTAACAATCATCAATCTACTCTAGGGTACCTAGAGCTAAGAGAAATCCTATGTGGCTACCAAGGGCATGAGGAGCTCTAAGCAGTGTGCCTTCTTGCAGTGTTTGCTACCTTGTTATGAATAGGTGGGCATAGTTCTGCCCCAGGTACTTAAACAAGTCCCCAGGTGGCACAGTCAAAGAAATTGAGATGAAGCAAGTTTGACATAAAGTAATGTTGTCTGAATCTTTGACATCACTCTGCTCAACATTTTCTTCAGTTTGAATATAGGAGAATTAATTATATTTGGGGACACACACAGAGTACTATACACACAAGGTACAAATTAAATCCATTTTATTACATCCATACTTCATCAATATGCATATGCATTTCTAGCTTAGCATTGTCCTGTTGTATGAAAATCATGCTTCTAAGGATTTCTGGAACTGGCAAGCTCACACCTTACCTTAATCTACTGTCCATCTTGGCTGCTGATCCTGGGGCAAGGCTATGAATATAGATGCCTGGAGAGCTATTTTCCAAAGTCAGACAGCAGGCACCAATGCCTAGTCCAACTCCTGGCTCTGTGAAAAGCAGAATATAAAGGAAATAAACAGAAAAGAAAAAACCACAACAGAAAACAATTTTATCCCTTTCAAATGAAACCACATCATATGCCTCCATAGGTTCTTGGAACAAATTCCCCTTTTCACCAATTGCTTCTCGTTTTGTGGCTGGAATCAGAGTGTGAACCAATACATACTTACCCCCTTATCAGTCCCTAGCCCTTTCCCAAAAAACTGTTTGAGAAGAAGAGATATATATTTTGTTAATTAGGGCAGTCACTGTGGAATTGGAGGCCAAATGCTAATTGTTTTCTTAAATGACTCAATAGTGGTTTAATCAGGGACTGATTCTTGGAGCTCCTTCCTTTGTTCGGATTTTGACTTTCTACCCATGTTACTGCTCCAAAAGCACTTCTACCACAGATGAGTAGAAGACAGAAACAGAGATGAGAATGAATGATGTTTGGGGATTATCTGTGGTCTTTTAGTTTATAACCATCTATTTCCACAAATACCTGACTGATAACTGTAATCATCTTGAATAATTATTATTTTGAGATTGGGTCTCCCTATCTCACCTAGGCTAGAGTGGCAATAGATGCTCATGGACCTTATCCCACAGCCCACCATCATGGGACCTTTGACCTGCTCTCTTTCTGACCTGAGCTGTTTTGCTCCTTCTTTAAGCAGCCTTATATCCTCCGTTCTTGGTGATGTAGCATATGGTGCCAGACTTGGTTCAGACACTGTGTTGGTTTTAGCCCTGTTGAAGCTCAGAACCCCTGAGCTGGCAATCCACCAGCCTCCACCACCCCAGTAGCAGGGATTACAAGCATGTGCCATCAAGCCTGGCTGAATTAAGCTTTTAAAACCATTTCTAAAATCCTCTTCAGCTTCAGAATCAGAATATCTAGTACGTTCTTCACTGTCTGATATGTGGGACTTTATCTGAGGAGCGGGTCACTGGGATTCTTTCCCTTCTCTACAGTGTCTCTGTGCACTACTTCCGATCCCAGTGTCTATCTGAAATGTGGTTCTGGTGGCAGATTAATTGTTTCACCATGCAAGGAAAGTAAACTTTCACATGATAGTGTGAAGTCAGAAGTTCAGCTTGTCAGATGGAACTCCGGAGAAAATGAAGGGAGAAGTAGATTATATAAAGGTTTGAATACTCTTTACAAGGGAACAGGAACTCTTGAGGAGCGTATCATATCACCTTTGTTGAGTGTGACTTCCATGACAATCCTGTCCTTGGGTCCTGGGCCTTTTCGACCCAAAGAAGAAGAATCTCCTTCATCTGAGCCGGGTGCGGGAGTTCCTCCACTGGCATTAGAATTTGGGGAGCTAGATCGGCTCATTAGTGTGGGTGTTGGGCACGGAGTAAGGCTTGGGCTTCGTAACCTTGTGCGTACCGTCAGGGTCACAACACCTTTCTTGAGTTGCTATGGAAACAAGAACATCAGTAAAGCAGGAATTCAGAGTGCATTTATACCAAAAGCAGGAAATAATCCCATCAAAACTGGGGGAAAAAATAAGGAAAAATTAAGTTGGCTGAAAAAGAACATTACAAAATATTTTTTAAAAATTCACAGATGAAAACAAAACAAATTGCAAAAGAGACAGCAGTTTTGTTATATCTTATTAAATTACATATCATGTGTGTGTGTGTGTGTGTATATATATAGATATACAGATACCCACATACTTTTAAAAATAAACTTTCTGTAACAGAAGTTCAATAACTTATTTCAGCCTCTGGTTTTCTTTGCCTAATGAAATATTTATATTGATTGATGATTGCTAGATTTACAAAAAAGATTAATTAATTAAATTATTAGTTATTATAATTATTGATTAATTGAATTTTAAATTTTGAAAAAATAGATAAACAGGTTTCTGCTATAATTCGGTTACCTTAAAGGTCTGAATGGCTTCTTGGTGGGTCAGTCCTTGTAGGGATTCTCCATTCACTTCTAGGATTTCATCCCCTAATAATCCAAAGCAAGATCAAGTTAACATTCATCTAGAGCCTACAGGAATGTACTAACTAGGCCATCAGGACAGTAATGCACTACTGCAAGATGCTTGATTTATTACTTGGAATAAGATGGCTCTTATTATTCCAATCTGTTTTCATTTGTCTCAGCTCCTAGGGTGGTAAAACCAGTTAATCAATAATAGGGAGAGTTCTTCATCAGCAATCCCAGACTTTAGTTTTTGATGAAAACAAACTTCTAGAAACAGTACTTGATTTAATTCAGCAAGCATTCCATGAAGCATCCACTAGGGACCTGCATTAAGTGCTGGGGATAAAATAACTAAAACAAGTAACAATCCCTTCCCCCACAGAGCTTAACTTCTACTGGTATGTAAGCTATAGGCTTTATTTCCTTGCCAAATTTTGTTTGGCAGTAAATATCCTATTGCCATAAGTTAAAGTGTGATGACACCAGAGGCAGTCTGTTTTCATAACTACCTAACTCCAGCAAGGAAGCATTAGCACATAGCATTTGCCAGGCCACTCCTACATGTTTAGGAGGCCAAGCTTCCCAAGTCACCACCATGCTTCAGCCATGGTTACTGAGGACATTGAAACAAAGACTATGGGACTCGAAGCCCAAAGACCAAGGTAGCTCCACCTTTAGAAATCACCCAGTTTTCCAGTGCCTGCATTCTCAATGACATTTCCAGGTACTCAGTCATTGAGCTTGAAGGGCATTGTGTGCTTCTATCTAGATTGCTGTGTGATGTCAGATTTTTCCCTAATAATCCTAGACACATCTTCTTCACCAAAAAAAAAAAAAGCACGGCCAGGGCATTTACAGAGCTGCTTCTGAGCTGTGAGTCCTGCTTCACATCTACAAGGTTAGTGCCCACTGTGTACCATGTGACATTCATGGCTCATCAGTCTGTTCCTTGGCATCACAGCAACAAAGAGAAAGAAAAAAAAGCCCAATAAGGAAGAGCAAACTACAAATGGAAAGTACTTTTACATATGAGGGACTTCCCACACATACTCCAAAAGCCATAATTAGGAATATTCTAACACAAAGGGTGGGGATCTCGAGCTACAGAAGACCATTTGTGGGGAAAGACCCAAGAAAATTACCTGGCCCTAGCTAGGGAGGCTACCTCCAAGGAAAGGAGTAAGGTTACAGGCTAGGGAGAAATCACCTAACACACAGCCATGATATTTTCTTATTTAACTAATTCTTTTTGTTAAGTACATGCTAAGCTCAGTTGTTTCTCCCTGCTGAAGGAATACAAGGGCTATCAGGGCTTTCTAAATCTGGGAGCTCTAGGGCAAAACCATAGTTACAGCATCTGAACACAAGAGCACAACATTGTCCTGAATTGTTTAATATGAACGTGTCCTCTGGTTCCTTATGGGAACCTTGTAGAAAATGAAGACAAATGACCTCATCCACATCTGTAACTAGCCTGCTCTTGCCCACTTAGGTTATGCATACATGCAGAGTTGGAAGGACCTTAGTGATCATCTAGTCCAGCCCCTTCATCCTAACAATGAGGAAACTGAGTGCCAGGAAAGTAAAGTGACTTGTCCAAGGTCACATGTGTACTAATTAAGAAAAGAATGCTATATTAGAAATGTTTGGAGGCTGTATTCAAGAGGATCAGGAAGCCTGGACCATTCTGAGTAATTGATCCTTTCTGTATCTTAGGCTCATTCTACCTTGCCCTATTAAGCAAGATGAGCTTCAAGCACATGAACTGAAAAGCTAGCAATTCATTATAGAAATGCTGTGTGACAATTTCACATTGTTCTGAAACTAAAGACAAAAACTCCTCTAGGGAGTTAACCCTTTTCTAACAGTGATGACTAATCATCTGCCCTGGAAGCATTCAGCCTGCTCACATCACCCTGTTCAAGCACAAATTTCTACCATCCTTCCTACTGGGGAGAAATCTCTACCTAACTCTTTACTGACAAGAACCGGCCAATTCAATGTAGCAATACTTCTATAGCCTTTGAAGCCAGTTTTTAAAAGTGTTCATAGCATTTTTAAAACCAACTTGGGGGCAACAATAAAGCACCAGCCCCGAAGTCAGGAGGACCTGAGTTCAAATCAGACCTCTGACCAAACACTTCACACTTACTAGCTGTGTGAACGTGGACAAGTCACTTAACCCCAATTGCCTAAAAAATAAAAAAAGAAAGAAAACGACTTGGAAAGTACTGATTTCATCATACAGGAAAGGCAATCTGTTCATGGCAAAGCAGGGGTTCTTCAGTGCTAATTGCTATCTTAAAAGTTCCAATATTCAGTGCTGATTTTGGCTTTATAGAATAAAGGGCTATCGTCTCAATCCAAAGATTCAAAGGAGTCCCATAGATTATCTACATAAAGGAATAATATTCCTAGTTTTAGTATAATATATTATCAAACAAAATGTCTCAATAAACTTTAGCCACAAAGGAGCTCTTCCATTGAAGAAAGCAACTGCATTTCTGTTAACAAGTTTCTTGGTCTTTATCAACTGGGATTTCTCCTGTGGTCATGTATGTAAAGGGGAAGGCCAGCAGAGATTTCAGTGAAGCTGGCCCATCTTCCCTTTTGTTTGCAGGCACAGATTCACATTGAGTCAAAGCCTTATTTTCATTATAGCTCAGGAGATTCTCCCTCACCTTCTTTGAGTCTTCCATCTGCAGCAGCTGCTCCACTGGGGAAAATTGTCTTGACAAAAATCCCCATCCGGCCTCTGGCTGAATCCTGACCTCCCACAATACTGAAGCCAAGGCCCTAGACCAAAAGCAAAAAGACAGCTTTTACTGACATAACACAATAAAAATTATATTAAATAAAGAGTTGCTAAAAAAACATTAAAAATCAACTAGAGACTAAAAATTTGAATCCTAAAGAATTTGTGGATCAAAAATAAACCATAGAACTGATAGATAATTTCAGTAAAAGACAACAATGAGACAACATACCAAGTTCCCTTTCCAGAGACTACTGCTAACCTGCTCATGGTCAAAAGTTCAGCAAATGTAATATTCTGATCCCTTGGAGACAAATTATGTCAGGGATTTTCTTCTCCGGTTGTTTGCTGTGATCAGCTTCCTTTCTCATTGGCCATATGTTACCTTTAGAGGCCTAAAATGGTTCTGAGGAATAAAGAAACCTCATTTTGTGCCGCTGTGGTGCTATGCTAGTTTCATTATTGTATTTTATTCTTTTCCACTTCACATTAAGAATGAACCACTTAAAGGGCCCTGGTCATTTATTCCCTAAAACTGGAAAACCATTAAGCTTACTGAGAAGATTTAATGGGGACTTGTCCTGAGGTCATAGGCTCTGCCTTTCTGAAGATCATGAGAAATTTACCAATGAGGGGATCCATTCTATCACCAAATTATGTGTCTTAGCTCAGGTGGCATTTACTTCTCAAAGAATGGGAAGCAAAAAGGAAAAAGATGTAGTTGGCCCATTCTACCCTGAGAAAAGAATGTCCAGAGGATACACTTAGAACTACTTAAAACTCACCTTTTTAAATACTATTTCTTAATCTTTCTTTTACATAAAAAAAAACCAACAACAAACCAATCATAGCCATAGGTTGAACAAATTGACTCTGAGGAATGAAATCACTCTTGAAAAAGCCCTCACCTTGCCTTGTCCTTTCATTAACACAATGTTGGAGATAATGGAGGGCTGAGCTAGTCTCCAAGGGGATTCCACTTGAGCAGTGCTCAAGGACCGAGTTGACTTCTTCACAGCATGGTATTCCTAAATAGAACCATATTGAACAATAGTCAAAAATTCATTTATTTATCTTGCTGCTATAGTCTCTTATATTTCCATTAAAGTTGTCCTCTGATGTGTCATTGTGGTGTGCAGATTTGCCTCAGTTCTCCAAGGTTAAGTCAGAGGAATGCAAGTTCTAGAAGGTTCTATGCCAAGCTGGGAAGCTTTGAGCAAGGGGTCAGAGGTGAATTCTACAATATCTTGCCAATCTGGCCAAGATTGGAGAGGCTTATCACCAGGTTGCTCACAGGGTAATGAATTTTTGAGCCTCAGCAACTCTTGGGGATGGCCTGCCAATTCATCAAGGGTCTGCAATGTGCACTGTAGGGAATCTCCACAACAATGATAAATCACAGAGGCTTCAACTCTTGAAGAAGTTTATCACCCACAAGAATACTCTAGATTTTAAACCTCAGTGTGATGGACACAGTTAACACTTTCTCCTTTTGTCTGTCATACCCTTTAAATTTTATTGGAAGAAGGAGTTTAGAAGAGACAAGACTAGTGGGCTGTATTGTAGATAGCCATAGCTGCCTCGGATTACCATCCCCAGCATGTCATCCATGTCTAATTTGTTTTTAGGAACTCCATTAACATGTAGCATTTTCCCGTCATCTATGCACAATGCCAAAGAAAGATATCCTTGCATCTTGGATGGAACCCAGGGTCTGTAAATCTGAAGGCCTTTAGTATGCAGGATGACCATTGATTGTCTTGTTTTCATTTGGCAAATGTCCCATGTAACCCCCAATACCAGGCCAGGTCAAAGCCATGGTTAGAAGGTATCAGCTTTTCAAGATCATATATCCCACTATACATACACACACATAACCACACAGCCCTTGTTCCATATAAAAGCACAAACCACATATACACCCAGAGAAGTCACATTCTATAAAAACTCCACTGAGTCTGCTATAGCTATATCTCTAATCCTTCATCTAGAGAAAAGAAAATATTTTCCTATGTATACCACACTCACTACTTCTGGCACACATCAAATTCTGACCTCTCTTTTTTTCAGTATATGAACCACAGAAGGTGGGCATACAGCAGAGAGTGGTATTTACAACATAAATACGAAGTTAGGTATTTATATATCAAAGTATGAGTTCAGTTTGGTTCTCTGCTATTCTTCATAAAGTTTAAACTCTTATAACATAGTACTTATAACTTGATGATTTATAGATTTCCCCAGAAGTTGCGTTTATGCCAGTATAAGCAAAAAAATAAAGTAAAAGCCACTTCTCATTTAATATGAGAATTTTTAGATTACAAAGTATTCCCTCTTGCCTTAAATTTTATTTTTCTACCTACTGAGGTAGAAATGAGATTTTTGACAGTAACATTTCTTGAATTGTGCATTACTTAAAACAATTCCCCTTTTGCAGCTTTTAACTCATCAAAAAGGGGTGTGTATGTGTGTGTGTGTGTGTGTGTGTGTGAGAGAGAGAGAGAGAGAGAGAGAGAGAGAGAGACAGAGAGAGACAGAGAGACAGAGAGACAGAGATAGAGACAGAGAGAGAAAGAGAGACAGAAAAGGAAGAGAGAGAGGTGGGGCATGGGAGGATGGTTGAGCATGCCTTTTCTGGGACTATGATGGCATAATTGCTTCTCATTCATTCCTGGAATATGAAAGCTTACTCTTGGATTGACAAATGACCTTCTCTTTACCATTCTTAATCTCTTCCCTCTCCAATACTCTAACAGAATTGTGACCTCACTGAAGTTAGTATGCCCCCCTACCCCAATAGTAAAGAGAAGAATATGTCTATGCCTGCCTGTCCTATGTGATTCTCCAACATTTCCTCACATGAGCTCAGCATGGAAACTACATTCAACCTACTAGAAGCTTTCTTCACCCTTCCTTCACAGTGTTTTAGACCAATGGAATCCTGATCTTGATGTGACTCTCTTCTTTGCCAATCCTACATTTCTTCAATGACATCCTTTACACCACTTGTCCTACATGTAACTCTTTTGAGTGATTACAGGTGTCACTTAGGAGGCCTGGCCCGCAAAGTCCAGGGCTTGAAGCAATCAGCACACTGCCCTCTACAAACAGGAGCATCTGGAAGGCCTCACTATTTGAAGGGAATCTTTCTTCCATGTGGATTATGTGCCAAATGACCTCTATGATGGTAGTTAGCACCTTTAGTGAGCAGACATCTATCTCCCTGTTTCATGCCTTACTTGATACTAACAACAAAAGGGTCCAAACAGTTTATCTCTGTTGTTACATCTTTTGAAGAATCTTATATAATTTGACATGTATGCAGGAAACTCTTTGTTGGAGGGGATCCTTTCAGGCAGCATTTTGCACAAATAAATCAAAAGCCATTTTGTTGTCAACGGAGATGATAAAAAGCTAGCATTCATATAGAAAGTACTTGACATATATTATCTCATTTAACCCTCACAACAGCCCTTTGGGGAAGGTGCTACTAAATATCCTCATTTTACAGATGAAGAAACTGAGGAACAGAGAGGTGAAATGAGTTGTCCAGGGTCACACAGACAGTAAGTATCAAAGGCAGGCTTTGACCTCAAGCCTTCCCAACTCCAGGTCTAGCACTGTACCCGTCCTACTGTGTAGCTGCCACAAAAATTAGCTAAAAATAAGTGTCATGGGTCCTTATGTTCTCCTTATTATCTTTCAGTGAGTTGTTTCAGGATGTAGTTTAAAGTGGACTACAGCTTGCTAAAGTCTGGCTGTTTCCTTATTATTTTCATCTTGTATGCTCTTAACCTGAATGTAGGTTATTCTCATAAAACTTCTTACATCTATGGGCAAGCATACATATGGGTCAATAGCTATTGATACTTTCTCAGTCACCTTTCTTTCTGGTAACAATGAGGTCTGGGATTTTTTTTCCATGTCACTAGTATCTTCCTCTCCTTCCGTTATATTGAGAATCGATGCCTTCACACATTCAATAGTGTGTAGGAGTATCAGTATGTTTCTGGCATATAGTGGAGACCAGTATGGTTCTGCTTGCAATCTTCTTGGTCTAGTAGAGCTGATTTTCTGTCTTTGTTTCCTCTGATGGCATATCTACTCCCTTAAGTGACACATCTGGGACTTTGATATTAAGAATCCAGCAGCTGAATTCAGTTCTCAGATGTGATGATTTTATATCACTTTTGGTGAAAATAATGTTTAAAAAACTCTTTACAAATCTTTTCCATTTTCCATCATCTGTTTGATATCCTCCTTCTGGTTTCATTTTTTCAATGCTCTTGAGATTGTAATGTTTAGTTGTGTCTCTTTTCAAGCTTTTAAATTTGCTTCTCTTTTCACTGCTTCACTATGTCTTATGAGGTGACATTTCTTGTGATCTTTTTTCTGCCGTGAGTTTATATTCTGAACTGGTATTGCTCTTAGCTTCCCCGATGTTCCCTTGGCTCTCTGCTAGGCAAGTTTAGAGAATCTGTTGCCTGAGGTAATTTTTAGGTTCTTTTATGCTATGCTCTTGATTTATAATCAGTTAGACTTCTACGTGAATTGTTCTAATTAGGTGTTGTCTTTTCTATATTTTGTTTTAGTCAGTCAAGTTGGGGTGGTTTTCATGCTGTGGCATCCTCCCCCACACACACACTTTTGTTGTCTTCTGGCTTATCAGTTCTAATTTTTGCTCTAAGCAGTTTGACCATACATAGACATCTAGCTGGGAAAGGATGCTCACATTGTTAAGGGTCTATTTCTAGCCTTTTAAAATATAATTAATTTCATTCTTGTTATTTTATTTGGTGATTGTCATATCCATACATCTATGGATTCTTTTGCAGAAGTATTTGTGATACATGTATGTGAAGCTTCAATGTAGCCCACAAGTACTTGGACTCTCTCATTCCTCAGGCTGGCATCAAAATATCCAACTTTTTTTTTTTTGCCACACCAAACTGCTGCTTGATGGTAAAATGACTTAATATATGTCTTCCTCTCCCTGTCAGCCTATTTCTACCATTTCCACCTCCACCATTACTACTGACTTTTATACAGTGCTTTAAAATTTGCAAAGCACTATTTGAAGCTTCTCCCCTTTAGTCTGACACATATAGAGGCCATGCCAGTGTTTCGTGGCTGAACTAGATAAATGCTAGTGGTTCGACCACAGCCTGGATACCACTGTGAGGCCCTACTGTCTCCTGGCAGCTGAATTCAGTTCTCAGATCCAAGACACACAGCAGGATGGAGAATCAAGAAATTGGGCTCCTAATAGGCCTATTTCCTCCTCCTAAGCTGAAGTCCTGTTGGAAAAGAGTACTGCTGAATGCCTTCCAGCCTGACCAGAGACAACTGTTTATCCTATCCATCCTATCACAGCTCTGTCACCTCAAATGCCTCCAGGACAGTGAAGTATCTTCAATCAAATCAGTTTACCAAAAATTTATTAAATTCCTGGGTGCAGAATACTGTGCTTAGTACTGGAGGTGAAGTGATCTTTAGATAAGTTGCAGTCTACCCTGCTCAGGTTTCTGCTCTAGGAAATGGATATGATACACACATTTTTTGTTGTTCAGTTGTGTCAGATACTTTATGGACCCTTTTGGGGTTTTCTTGGCAAAGACAGTGGAATGGTCTGCCATTTCCTTTTCCAGCTCATTTTACAGATGAGGAAAATGAGGCAAACAGGGTGGAGTGACTTGAGAGGGTCACCCAGCTAGTAAGTTTCTGAGGCCATACTTGAACTCACAAAGATTAGTCTTGCTGACTTCAGGCCTGGAGCCCTATCTACTATGCCACTTAGCTGCTCCATGATACACAGATAACTGTGACACAAAATGATACATAAGAACATTGGAGAAGAGCAAGCAAATGTACTGTCTGAGTGGTACAAGGGGGAGAAAAATATCACAGCCACCTAGAAACATCAGAGGAAACTTCCTGGAAGAGGCAACCATTAAACTGGGCTTAAAAGGATGACTAGGACTCAGTCGTTGGAATGTGGACAGGAAAAGCATTCCAGGCACAGGGAACAAAATAAATAAAGGCACAGAGGTGGTAAAAAACAAAACAAAATAAAACAAACAAAAAACCCCAACTCATATCCTAGGACCAGCAAAGAGTATCCATGATGGAGTATAAAGTACATGGAAGGGATAATATCTAAGAGATGGGGTTGGAGAGATAGGATGGAGAGTCCTGAACACCAAAGCACAATTGCTTCTCTTCTGTTAACTTTTTAAAAAGTTTTTATTGTGTTTTCTGTTTGTTACATCACCAGTCATCTCACATATATCTTCCCCCTCCCAAGAGAGCCATCTCATGAGAAAAATGGCATGTTTTTAAGAGAGGAAAAAAGTCAGTGCAATTGATAAATTCATTCAAAAAGTCTGAAAACAATGCATTGTGTAGCATCTGTGGACCTCTCACCTCTATGAAGGGGTAGGGTGGGGTGCATTCTCTTATCTCTCCATTCAAGTTCTGTTTGATCTTAATAACTTTGTTATATTTTTTTTGTGGGGGGGAGGCAATTAGGGTTAAGTGACTTGCTTGGGGTCACACAGCTGGTCTGAGGCCAAATTTGAACTCAAGTTCTCCTGACTTCAGGGCTGGCACTCTATGCACTTCACCACTTTGCTGCCTCTTGTTATATTTTCCCTTGATATTTTGTTATGTTGTTGTCATTTCCAGTTCCATTACTGCTACTTTGTATGTTGTTTTCTTGGCTCTGCTTACTGAAGGAGTTGATAAGAAAAAAGGCAACTCCTTGCAGGCTAAGGTAGAAAAATTTAAGGGATTAAGGCCTTTCCTTGACCTGATCAGGGGCAGTCAGGAGAGCAGGACCATCAGACTGACTGACCTGTCTTGCCCCAACAGAATCAAGCTGCTGTGGAAGGGAATGTTTGCGGGCACTCCAAGAAAACTTTTCCAACATCTCCCCACCGGGGTCACAATTTTCTACTGTCAGCTCATCATCTTCTCCAACAGATTCTAGACGAGGTGCACCCCCTAGAAAGAAAAAAAAAGATGTTTGTTATAATAATAATAGTAATTTGGGGGGGGGAGGCAATCAGGGTTAAGTGACTTGCCCAAGGTCTCATAGCTAGTAAATTTCTGAGGTCACATTTGAACTCATCATCTCCTGACTCCAGGGCTGGTGCTCTATCCACTATACCACCTAGCTGCCCATGCTTTAACATTTTCAAAGAGTTTTACCCATGTTTTCACTTGGTCCTTGAAACAACTTTCTGAGGTAGGTGCTATTATTGCCCCTCTACTACATATAAGGAAACTGAGGCTGAGAAAGGTTAAATAACTTGTCCTATCCTAATTACCAATCTGAACCTTGGCTCATGCCGGGTCTTCCTGACTCTAAAGCCAGTGTTTTAAGCACTGTGCACACACTGCTTCCCCATTCCTCTGTCCAGCACATCCCATCCCCTTCTTTCCATCCATCCATATCCAACCCATTCTTCCAGGCCTAATGCAAATTTGACTTTCTCAAGAAGTTGGCTCAAAGTGATTTCTTTCAATTCTAAGTTCTGATAGCACTTGCTGTCTCTCTCTCTCATTTGAAATAATTAACATCACTTCAATACTTTAAAGAATCTGCATAAAAGCAAAATTATGAATGCTGGAGAAGATGTGGGAAAACTGGAACATTAATGCATTGTTGGTGGAGTTGTGAACTGATCCAACCATTCTGAAGAGCAATTTGGAACTATGCCCAAAGGGCTATAAAACTGCATACCCTTTGATCCAGCAATACCACTACTAGGTCTGTATCCCAAAGAGATCATCAAAAAGGAGAAAAGACCCACATGTACCAAAATATTTATAGCAGCTCTTTTTGTAGTGGCAAAAAATTGGAAATTGTGGGAATGCCCATCGATTGGGGAATGGCTGAACAAGTTATGGTATTTGAATTGTGCTATGAGACTATTGTGCTGTAAGAAATGATGAGCAGGCAGATTTCAGAAAAACCTGCAAAGACTTACATGAACTGATGCTGACTGAAGTAAGCAGAACCAAGAGAACACTGTACACAGTAAAGCAACATTGTATGATGATCAGTCAACTATGATAGACTTAGCTCTTCTCAGCAATACAATGATCCAAGACAATTCCAAAAGAATCATGATGGAAAATGCCATCCACATCCAGAGAAAGAACTATGGAATCTGAATGCAGATCAAAGCATACTATTTTCACTTTTTTTCTGTTTTTTTCTGTCTTGTGGTTTTTCTCTTTTGTTCTGATTCTTCTTTAACTACATGAGTAATGTGAAAATATGTTTAATATGATTGTACATGTATAACCTGTATCAGATTGCTTACTGTTTTGGGGAGAGGAGACGGAAAGGAGGGAGAAAAATTTGGAACTCAAAATCTTACAAAAATGAATGTTGAAAGCTATTTTTACATGTAATTGGAAAAAATAAAACAATATTAATTGAAAAAAAACCCTGTGATTTTATCTGTGGTTTGCACGATAAACAGAAGTCAACAATGAAACCTTCAGCTTAAGGAAAGGAGAGAGGCACAGCATCCAGCACTAAGGAGGTGGAAGCCCTGCTGTACTTTACCTGGGTCAGACCACACCTGGAGTACTGTGTTCAGTTCTGGGCACTAGTTGGGGGAAACTGATTATCTGAAGAACATCCAGAGGAGTGTTAGCAGGAGGGAGAAGGTCCTGAAGATCATTCCATAAGAGGATCAGGTGAAGAAGGTAGGGGTGATGAGCTCAGAGAAGAACTGGGGAAAGAATTATAGCTGCCTCCAAAAATGTAAAGGGCAGTTGTGTAAAAGAGGGACTGGACTTTTCCTATTTGACCTCAAAAGAAAAAACAAGGAAAAATAGGTAGAGGTCACAGAGGGTCAGATTTGTGTTCTATTGAAGGAAGAACTTTCTAACAATTCTTTTGTTGTTGTCATTGAGCCATTTTTCAGTTGTATCCAAATCTTTGTGACCCCGTTTGGGGTTTTCTTGGCAAAGATACTGGAGTGGTTTGCCATTTCCTTCTCCAGCTCGCTTTTAAACTGAGAAAACCAGGGCTAAGTGACTTGCCCAGGGTCAGACTGCTAGTAAGTGTCTGAAGACAGATTTGAACTCACAAAGATAAGTCTTCTTGTCTCCAGGCCAGCACTCTATCCACTGTGCCACCTAGATGCCCCAATTAGAGATCTCCAAAAGTAGGACAGCCTGCCTCAAGAGGCAAGGGGATAGAGGGGGAGTCCTCCACCCCAAAAGAGGTCTTTAAGTGAAGACTGCATGATCACTTGTTGAAGATGATTATACAGGAGAGTCTCAGCCAGATATTAAGAATTAGAGGGCCTCAGAGATCCACCCTAGATACAAATCCCCACTTGGCCACTTACTATGTGACTCCTAGGCAAGCCACTTAACCACTCTGTGACTCAGTTTCCTCTTCTTTAAAATTAGGAAATTGAATTTGGAGGCCCCTTTCCAGCTTTAAATCTATGGTGGTAAAATCCCTTACAAATCTGAGTTTTGGAGATCTAATGAGGACTCGTTTTCCACCTGTGAAGATGGAAATGCCTGCAGGGTTCATGGGTTGGCATGGCCAAAGATGGTCATAATGTGGTAGCCAAGCTTGTGACAATGAGTAAATAAAAATACAAGGCAATATTTCATAGAATTTCAGACCCGGCAGGGACATTAAAGACCATTACTCTAAACCTCCTCTTTTAATGATGAGAAAACTAGGATTTAAAGGAGTAAGATCACAAGATCATACAGCTCATAAGTGGGAAATCCCAGGACTCAAACCAGTTCCTTCTGACTCCACTGCTCTCTGCTGCCTCTCATTACTTATTTTACATGTATCTGTGTCTTTCTATGTGTGTGTCTATAAAAATATATGTAAAATCTATATTTATCTACATCTATCTACAGTTATATCCATATCTATGTCTGTATCTATATATCTATATATCTCTCTATAATCTATTTCTATCTATGCTATCCCACTCCATCTAGGTTGTAACTCATTAAGGGAAGAAACATTTTGATTTCTCCTATCAGCACTTGGTAGAGTGCCTTGTACATGACAAGTTTCTGATAATTATTTTTAATTGATTGTGTCATCCACAAAAGAATGAAAATTAAAGGGAATAGTATGGCATGAAGATGGGAGGGGACTAATTACCATCATTAAGTGATCTTGTTGATTACAACACAGAAACTACTTAAACACAGGGAAATATAGAATCTCAGGGATCTCTGAGGTCTAGTCCAATCCAAACCCAAATAAGAATCCCCAACATAACACAGACAAGTGGCCATCCAGACCTACAGACAGAAAGCACTACTGCTTCTTCCCAAGGCCACCCACTCCTACTTTTCAAAAGCTCCACTTGAGTGGGTTTTAGAGGAAACAAAAGATTCCAAAGAGGTAAAGGTAAGGGGAGAGCAGCTTCCAGAATAAGGCATAGAGGCAGAAGATGAATTGTGACATACTATGAGCAAGTTTGACTGGAACACAGATTGTGTGAAGGGGACCAACATATAAAAAACTTGTGAAGGTAGACTGGAACTAGACTATAAAGGATTAAAAACTCGATTTCCATTCAATAAATATTTATGAAGTGCCTACTATGTACCAGGCACATTGTGCTGAGTGATGGGGATATAAATAGGAAAAAGAAAGACAGAAAGCTCCTGTTCTCAAGTAGCTTACCATCTAGAACACAGTGCACAAAGGGAAGCAGAAAAATAGGGTGAAGATAGGTTGGGAGACCAAGCAGGGGATTCTAAGGAACACCATTGCCTCACCCAGGACAAGCTGATTAGCTGAAATCTCATCACCAGGCAAATTGACACAGTTGTTGATACTCAGCGCCTTCCCCTCTGATTGGAGGGTGGACGATAACATTTCTCCCAAAGCCTTCCTCTGACCAGAGCCCTCTCTAAAGAAAGGCTTTCAGAGGAGTGTTATTTGTCCACCCTCCAATCAGAGGGGAAGGTGCTGAGTATCAACAACTGAGTCAATTTGCCTGGTGATGAGATTTCAGCTAATCAGCTTGTCCTGGGTGAGGCATGGTGTTCCCCAGAGTCCATGCCAAATAGAGCTACTGATGGAAAATGGAGAGTTACCTGACAGAGTCACCTGTTTGGAGAGAAACAGAGGCATTTGTCATTTGTATTTTACACTGAGGCAATAATGAGTCACTGAAGCCTCTTGAGCAGACAATGGTGACCCATGTGGTCAGAATCTCACTTTGGCAGCTATGTTGAAAACAGATTGAAGAGGGCAAAGACAAAGGTAGGAATTTGCTGCTGTAAAGTACAGGTGAGAAGCTATGGAGGTCTGAGTTACTGTTGTGACCGTGTGAGAAAGGGAAGAGATGGATAAAATGTTCTAGAGGTGGAATCATGAAGAACTGGCATCTGATTGGGTATAAGGGAGAGTGTGAGGAGTCAAGGGTGGGGCCAAGGTTTCACACTGGGCTAAGTTTCTTCTTGAAGCTAAACATTTCAAGTTCTTTCAACTGATTATGTGATGGCCCAATCCTGAGGCCCCTCACTCTCTCATCCTAGTTGCCCTCTTATAGATGCTTTCCATTTTGTCAAAAAAAATGTGGCAACCAGAATTAGAAAAAAAAAATAAAGAAGCCTCCAGTTATGCTCTGATCAGTCCAGGGCAAAGTGGGACTTCCCTGGTCCTCATCATTATGTCTTCCTTCCTGCAGCCCGTGCATGCATCTGTTTGTTTCTTTTTGTTTTCCATATCACACACTTGAGGGCAGATAGGTGGTACAGTGGAGAGAGGGCCCAGACTGGAGTCAGGAAGAATTCTCTTTGGGAGTTCAAATCTAGGCTGACACTTACTAGCTGTGTGACCCTGGGCAAATCACTTAACCCTGTTGGCCTCAGTTTCTTTTTTTGTAAAATGAGCCAGAGAAGGAAATGGGAAACAACTCCAGTTATCTTTGCCAAGAAAACCCCAAATGGGTTTTCTTTCATGAAGATTCAGACACGACTGAACAACATCACACCACTGACTCAGATGGTTAGTTTACAACTAAACAAGGTCATATGAGCGTCAGCTGTATAGAATATTAACTCTGAAATGACAGGGGAGAAAATGCCTTCTAGCAACTGACTTCTCAAAAGAAATCTTTGTACATTTTTTAGAATAAAACCACCTTACAATCTATAAGCTACCAATTTTCTAGAAGGCTTTCCCATCATTTTACTTGACACCCGCCCAATGGCCACACCTTCAATTTTATCCAGGTGCCTATTCCCCAGAGAAATAATATAAAAGGAAGTGAGACATGATTGTACCATGTTTCACTTCATGTGACCAAGGTGGAATGGGATGCCTTGGACTTGATCCATTATCCATATTTATTAGCCCTTTTATAAAGCTCCAGTATGGAAGCAGGGGAGGGACATACAACCTTTGTCCCAAAACCCTAATGAAGAGCTTTTCAAATACAGCCAGGAGACTTCCAACAGCAACTTCAATTATTCCTTTTGGGAGATGGGACATATAAAACATAATTTTTCTGAAGCAGAACTCCCTGGCAATCAAGACAGTACAAAAGTCTGTGAACAAGACACAGTCACACTCCCACTGTACTACCTCGATCCTATCTAGCACTTACATTTCATTGATTATATGATATATTGCTTGAGAATTCCTTCTACTTCAGCATCTCTCTCCCCTCACACCCCCGCACGGCCCCAAGCCTCAGTTCATCCTAGAATCCTCCAGCCCCACCTGATTTCATTTTAGTTTCATCTACCTAACCCTACCCACATTCCTGATACCCTAGGCTGTGTCTGTCATTACTCTTTCACAAATCTAGTCTAATAATAAGCTTTATAGTTATACCTGAGAGGACCCATGGGGTAGTGGATAGAGAGTTGGCCTTAAATCCAGGAAGACCTGGGTTTAAGTCCTGCCTCTGAAATGTACTAGCTCTGTGACCCTGGGTAAGTCCCCTAATGTCTCAATGCCCTAGGCAACATTCTGTAAGTATAAGTTTCAGAGAAGGGGCCAGTCTTCAGGGGTAAAGAGTGTTTCTTCATCTGGGAGTTGCTGAATCAATAAATTATAGGTCAGGTCCCTATCCTTAACAGGAGAAATAATTAGGCCCTCTACTTCCGAGCACATTTGCATTTCAAAAGTTCGTCTAAATATCTCTGGCTTGGGTTTTTCATTTTGGAAAGGAGTAAGGAACTTAAAAGACTGTTTTTATAGCCACAAAGTTAGCACTGGGGCAGCCTGGTGGTGCAGTGGATAGAGTGCCCAGCCTGGAGTCAGAAAGACTTCTTTTTGGGAGTTCAAATCTGGGCTGACACTTACTAGCTGGGTGACTCTGGGCAAGTCATTTTGCCCTGTTGGCCTCAGCTTTCTCATCTGTAGAAGGAGCTAGAGAAGGAAATGGCAAACTACTCCAGTATCTTTGGCAAGAAAACCCCAAATGGGGTTGCAAAGAGTCAGACAAGTCTGAAACGACTGAAGAAGAGGATTAGCATGAGAGAATACGAAGGTACTTATGATATTCTTAAATGCAGATACAGCCTCACTGATGAGCACATTCAGACTCTTGTGACACTACTGCACAGGAAAAAGGAAGGGAACACGCATTTATTAAGCTCTTACTATGTGCCAGAAACTGTGATAAGTGCTTTACAGATAGTATTTCGATTGATTTTCACAACAACCTTCAGAGGTATGTGTTAATATGATCTTCATTTTGCATTTGAGAAAAGTGAGTTAAGTGATGTAATTAACTAGAGTCACATAGCCAATAAATGTCTGAGATAGGATTTGAACTCAGGTCTTTCCAACTCCAGACCTGATCTGTTATTCACTACATAACCTAGCAGCATGAAGTTATGTACTCAGGAGCCTGCTGGAGCCTGCTCATGTCAAATTTTCAATGTATTTGCACCTCAGAAATCCACAATCACAAAAAATCAGGCCTGATTTATTGTTTTGTTCATCATTTGAACTTAAGAAACTCAAAGAGAAAATGGTAATGATTCAGATTAAGCTCAAAAGTGTGTTATGCATACATTTCCTCCCCCCCACTGGCTGATTGTTAAATATTTTCCAGCACACTCCTGGTTATATGCCCACTGCTGGACCATTGCTGAGTTCATCTGAACCTCAGCTGTGCTTCACTCTTTCAGGGGAACATAATCAATCAGGAGGCAAAGGCAAGCAGAAGGGGCCTCAGAGATCGTTGACTTGGGGTCATGGGATCATTCTAGGATCACAGATTTAGAGCTAAAAGAGACTTGAGAGGTCTTTGAGTCCATGCCTTCATTTTACAGATGCTCCCAGGTGAAGGGTGCTAAAGTTTTTTTTTGTCAAAAAAAAAAAAAAAGGAGACTTTGACTTTGATCCTGGAGGTAAAAGGAAGCCACTGCAGTTTAGTGATGAGAGTAATGTGGTCAGATCTGAACTTTAGGATAATCACTTTTGCATCTATGTGGAGGATGGTGGAGGATGGAGGAGAGTGAAGAAAGATTCAAAGCAAGGAGGTAAATAGAAAGCTGTTGCAGTAGTCCAGCTAAGAGGCAGTGAGGGCCTGGATTAGGGTGGTGGCTTCGGGAAGGAAGAAAAGGGGACATATTCAAGAGATGGAATAGACAAAGATGTGACAAACTTGCGAGGAGGTGTCACATAACAATAGAAGGTCAGCTTTTACATCACCCATTTCTTTATCAGAGATAATAAGGAAGTATTAGCTGGAGTACTGGACCCAGAATCAAGAAGAAACCATGTTCAAATCCTGCCTCTGATTCTTACTAGCTGTGTGACCAAAGCTAGCCTGAGCTGTAATTTCCTCATCTGTAAAGCTGGGATTCTGACAGTATTTAGCCTCACAGGGCTATGTGGGGACATGGGTTGTGCTTTGCAAGTCTTGGTTTTTTTTTGGGGGGGGGGCTAGGCAGTGGGGTTATGTGACTTGCCTAGGGTTACACAGCTAGTAAGTGTTATGTGTCTGAGGCCAGATTTGAAATCAGGTCCTCCTGAATCCAAGGCCGGTGCTCTATCCACTGTGCCACCTAGCTGACCCACACTTTGCAAGTCTTAAAATGAGAAGTTAACTCTCTCAGTTTTTTTCTTCTAAAATCCCCTTTTCTAACCTTGGCATCATTTCTGTCATGCTTGCCTAGCATGCCCTCTATGTTGTAGATACTTACTGTCCTCCCCCACAGCCAAAAAAATCAAAATGGGGGCAGCTAAGTGGCACAGTGGATAGAGCACTGGCCTTGGACTCGGGAGGACCTGAGTTCAAATCCAGTTTCAGTGACATAGCACTTCCTACCTGTATGACTCTGAGCAAGTCACTTAACCCCAATTGCCTCATTAAAAAAAAATTACAATGTACTGGTTTATTCAGCTTCATAAAAAAGTGTACTTTACAGGCCTTCCTCTATCATGTCAAATGGAAAAAGAGCAATTGGACGAGTAGAGGAATGGGCCAACAGGGAAGGGACTTAAGTCTATGAAGCAGGTGTAGCTGCTGTTCAGTGTAACAAATCCATTTAAGAAGGTACTTCACTTAATCACAGTGGTATTAAATATTCCCTCTAGGGAGTAATCTTGACTTTCTGCAAAAGCTCATACTCATTGAGAATTTAAAAATTTGCTGATGAGATTGGGAAGGCAGCAAAGTATTTGGCCTGAGATCTCTAACTCCACCTTGTTTCCACTCCTGGTTGAGATGTAGAGTGAATGAGGCTTGGTGATGGAAAAGTTCTTTTCCCCTTGTTTTCTTGGAGTAAGGATATCTGTGCATATTTATGTCTGCTGGAGAGCAGGCCACCATGAATACTCTACTGGGGAGGTGTGATCACCTTCTAAAAAGCCCCATTGAAATAAACTGAACCCAATACACAGGAAATTTAAGAGTAGGCTAAGGCAAACAGAGACATAGACTTTCACTTCATTCTGCAGCCAATAAAAAGCTTCAGCTTGGGAAGCCTAGCTGAATGCAAACATTGTGCCATTGCCAGCCTCCTTCCTAACTCAAGTATTTAGGGGTTTCATGGAAAGAAATAGCTGACTCTTATTAATGGGTTTATCCATGAACCTCTCAGGCTGGGTCCTGGCCATACTGCACTCCCAACCTCCCTTTCATGGGCAGGACCTGTACTCTCCATCAAACAGGACTTACCTTGGGAACGGCTCCGACACTTCATCAGGCAGCTCCCCATGGTGGGGCTTCTGCAGCTTCCCCGAGATCCTTCCAGACCGTTGGGATCTTGGGGCTTATCAGGCTCAATCATCTGAAACAGACAAGGCAGGGATTATAGCATTAGGCTAAGGGATACTGGAGAAGAGGCTCTCTGGTAAATACACTCTTCCATCTACTGAGAGAGCCATTGCCCAAGCATTTCTCTGAACTACAACATGGGTGTCATGTGAGGAAGAGGGTTCACACAGTGCAGACCAAAAACAGGTCATCTGTGACCCTTTTACTTAACTCTGGGAGGTTTTTCTATCGAGACTTGGGAAAAGAACCCTGGATTTGGCAGTGAGAAAGTGTGGGTTTCATCTCCCCTCTTGGCTCTCTTAAATGTAGAAGTTCAAACATCTGCAGGTCTACATTGAGATAGAGAGACAGACAGAGACAGATAGCCAGAGAGACAGAGAACGAGAGAGAGAGAGAGAGAGAGAGAGAGAGAGAGAGAGAGAGAGAGAGAGAGAGAGAGAGAGAGAGAGAGAGAGAGAGAGAGAGAGAGAGAGACAGAGAGAGAGAGAGAGAGAGAGAGTGTGTGTGTTTCCTCACCAGAGTGTGCTGGAGTCAGTTGATTTTGATTTCCATGGTGAGTATAGATCATAGCATCATAGAATCTCACATTGGAGGGAACCTTCCGGGCCATCTAAGTCCAACTCCCTCATTTAACCATAAAGGAACGGATGCCCCAAAAGGGTCATACCAGAAGAGAGCATTGGAGCTTATGGTCTCACATTCAAAATCGAGTGCTCTTTCTTTTTGTACTACAGCAAGAATCAGAGTTTTCAGAGCTGGATTTAAACACTGTCTAGTCCAATACCTTCATTTTGCAGAGAAAGAAATGGAAGTTCAGAGACTTTAACAGAGTTGCTCAAGGTCATACTGGAAGTTATAGGGAATGATGGAATTAGGTCCTGTGTTCCTGACTCAGAGGAACTATTCTTCCTACTCTAAAGAGATATGAGGTGTAGTGGATAGAGCCCACCTCCCCTTCAGAAAGACCTGGATTCAAATCCTGCCTCTGACATTAGTTGTATGATTCTGGGCTAGTCACTGAACCTCTGTGAACCTCATTTTCTTCATCTATAAAATGAGTGGTTTGGACCAGATGGTCCCCATGGTCTCTTCCAGCTCTAAATCTCTTATCCTATGATTCTTCAGTTATTAATGTACAGTAAGACCTTGATTAACTAGGAGAGGAGGAAAAACAGCCCTGAAAATGTCACTGGACTAGTATTTTTTTCCTACACTTTGCTTTCAGAAGGTGAGAAGTTATAAGGTCTCTCTCTCTTCCTCTATGCATATGCCTATGTGTCCTTCTGTGTCTTTCTGTCTGTCTTTATCTTTCTGCTTGTCTGTCTCTCTCCATTTCTGTCTCCCTTTGTCCTTCAATGCATATGTCTGTGTGTATCTTTCTATCTGTGTTCATCTGTTTGTCTAGATCTGTCTCTTTGTCTGGCTCGCATATGCTCTCTCCCCTCCCCCCTCCTCTCTCACACACACAGAAAATCTATGTTTTAAGAAAAGAAAAAAAATGAAACCTGTTCTGGGTTTGGGAAGGATTCAGCCGAGCACTTCCTACACTTACAAAATTGTACCATGAGCCTTGACATTTAGACTAAGGGCCCTGGGTCTCAAGATCTTCATTCAAAAGAGATTCAAGTACATTCATCAAACTATGTTCTCACCAAGGCAAGAGCTTTTACTCACACGTTTTTTCAGCAAGTTTCTCAACAAAAAAGGTTATTTTTGTTTTTGTTTTTTTACTCTCAGTTCATAAGAAAACAAAATGAAACAAAATCCTACTGCCTGAGCATTCCAGTTAGTTGAGGTTATATTTTGAATAGAGCTCAGGGCTTGGAGTCAGAAGACCTGAGTTCAAATGTGGCCCCAGACATTTATTAGCTGTGTGACCCTGGGCAAGTCACTTAGCTCTGTATTCCTCATTTTCCTCATCTGTCAAATGAGCTGGAGAAGGAAATGGCAAACTGCTCCAGTATATTTGCCAAGAAAACCCCAGATGGTGTCACAAAGAGTCAGACATAACTGAAAGGACTGAATAACAAATAATTTCAATGTTAAGCTCAGGTCCCACCCTACTTTTATCTATATGTCCCTGGACCAGTCTCTTAACCTATCTGCTTCAGTTTTCTCATCTTTAAAATGGAGATAATAATAGCATTTACCTCCCAAAACAAATGTGGGGAGGAAATGAGATATAATATGTATATATTGCTTTGCAGACATTAAAGCTCCATAGAAATGCTAGCTATTATTAAAATAGCATTTTTGTTTAAAAATTTCAAGTATAATTTTTAAAAAATATCTACATTTAAATAGGTCAAATTCACTTCAGTTCCTCATACATAAACAACAGACGTACACATCTGTGGATATATTTAAGGGGTACAAGTCATCTTTGAGCATTCATAGGATCACTGAACTGTGAACTAAAAGAAACATCTGGGGATTATCTAGTCCAGCTACTTCATTTTAAAGGGAAGGACAGGAGAAGGCACACAGCAGTAAAGAAAGCTTTCCAAGTTGGTCAGGAATAGAGCTAGGAGGATTCTGCCTTCCAAGCCAGCACTATGTCATTCTATTAGGTGGATGAAAAAATGACACTATTGACATTTGTCGTCCCCCCCCAGTGGGCACCATTATGCTTTCTTGTTTTCTCCCCTAGTAGTGGGTAGAAAGGAAATAACAGCTCATGTTTATGCACAAATTCTGCAGTGACTAAAATGCTTTCATACAGGCCATCTCACTTCCACCCCAAAGAGATAGTTACTGGTGGGGTTTTACTCCGACTTTTACAAATGCAGATGCTAAGGCTTAGACGGAAGCTCAGTCACTTTCTCAGGTCATACAATTAGTAATTAGTAGAATCCAGACTGTAACTGAAGTCTTCTAATCCAGTCCCAGGCTTTTCCTACTTCAAATACCTCATAGACCTTGTCACGGCAGATGCGTTTAGCAGGGACTCTCACAAGGTCTGCCACTCTCCAAGCAAGTCCAAATGACTGAGGACTGTTGCCAGGCTTCTCCATCATCTTTATTTCCTATGTTGGTCCTAGCTTCCAAACTTCTGGGTTTGTGATAGAAGTCACTGACATTAAAATGGTGAAACAGTGATCAGTTTCTAGCTTCTAAGAGGAAATCTACTTTGTTCCAGATGTTCCAGATTCTAGGAGCATCAATGAATCAACAAACATTTAAGGGCCTGATGTATGCCAGGCACAGTCCTAGGTACTGAGGATGCAAAGACAAAAGTAAAACAGTCCTTGCCCTCGAAGAGCTTAGAATCTAGGGAGATATGTGTATGTATGTACATATATCAGTATGTACAGAATAGACAGAAGATAATTTTGGAGGAAGGCATTAGCATCTGGGAGGTGGGGGTCATGAAAGGCTCCATGGCATCTGAGCTGAAAGGCAAATTGCAAGAGGCAAAGATGAAGAGGGAGTACATTCCAGGCATGAGGACCAGTCACTGCAGAAGTGTGGAGGGAGCAGATGGAGTCCTGTTTATGATGAAGAGTAAGAAAGAGCTGGGATCTTCTACCTCTTTTTATTTTTTCTAGTTATGCTACATTGTTGTATGTGGGAGGGAGAATATTGTGAGGAAAACATTTGATCCAACTGGGAAGTGATTGAATAAATTACTATGTACTCATATATTACAATATTATGGCCCATAAAACCACCACTATGAAGACTTCAAAGAAATATGGAAGGTCCCATTGAAGGAAGGCCAAATGAGCTGAGCAGAATCAGAAAAGCAAATTAAGAGAAAACAACAGCAGAGGATTGGTTCTTTATAAATAGGGAGACTCAGAAGGAGACAGAGCAAATGTACCATTTTGATTTTGAGTTTGCAAAAAAATGTATATATGTTTTTGAGCCAAAGTTAAATAATTGAAATTTCAGGGTCATATTTGTGGGTTCATTCCATGTTTGGTTAGATTATTTATCAATAGTTCTTACAAAAACTAAAATTTAAAAATTAGGCTTTGGCTAAGATGAGGAGGGAGGCCAAGATAAAGTTTAGAACTTGGCCACTTCACTAGAAAACCAATTCTTTGGCTAGGCTTGTTGATATATACTTCTAAGTGTTGAGGATTGGGCAAGCCTTTTGTTCAGGATACTACAAGAAGTAAACAAGGACCTGGAGGATTCAGGAAGAGACATGCAAATAAAAATGATCCAAACACAAGCCCCAGGTCATTTACTTTGGTTTAATGATGTTCTATAACCATCCTGCCTCCAGCCTATAAACACTAATTATCAGACCTAAATTAGGTTCCTGGTTTTTTCTTGTTTCTATACTACCATGACACACATTAGAAGCCGACAGGGAAGGCATTCCAGAATTTGCTTGTTATTACCTCATTTGGTACCTATTAAATGGGTGGAATGTTATTGTGTGGAGAAGCCCTAGACAATGAGCTTTCCTACTGATTCCTAGCCTGTGACCTTCACTCCCCTCATGATATAAATGGCTTTTCTATGTAATAAGTGAATCCTCTTGGTACTATCAGATGTTAGGAAGTAAAAGTAGCCAAATCCTTTAAAGAAGTTAGTACTGATAGTTAAAGAAGGTAGTAATGATAGATAATAATCAGTAATAATAGCTAGCATTTATTTAGTGCTTTGAGGTTTGTGGTGTTGTTCAGTCATTTTCAGTCCTGGCTGACTCTCTATGGCCCTCTTTGGGGTTTTCTTGGCAGAGATACTAGAATGGTTTGACATTTCCTTCTCCAGCTCATTTAAAGCACTTTGAATATTATCTTATTTGATCTTCACAATAACTCTGTGAGATAGGTGGTATTACTATTCCCATTTTGCAGGTGAAAAAACTGAGCCTGAAAGAGATAAAGTGATTTGCCCAGGGTCACACAACCAGTAAGTGTTCGAGGCAAGATTTGAGCTCAATTCTTCATGATACCAAGTCCGGCACCCTATTCACTGTACCACTTAAGCTCCCAGTAAGACTATCTCAGTGTAAAACAACAAAGTTTAGCACCGAATTTAAAACGATGAATGTCA